TTTTATTTTATTTTTGTAAAATTTATTAAACTCTCAAAAATTTAAGAGTTATAAATAGAACAAATAAGTAGTTATAAAAATAAAAAAAAAAAAAAAGAGGAAGGGATAAGAAAATGTGGGTTGCCTCCCACAAGCGCTTGTTTTAAGTCTTTGTAGCTCGACTCCTTTGTGTTCTTAGTTAGGTAGGATTGGTGGCTCCAAGAACTTCCTGTTGCCTGATGATTCCAAGTGCATCTTGTCCTGTAGAACTTCCTTGATCAAGTAGCCATGCGACTCTCCTCTTACTTGTGAGCACTCTCCTCCACTTGTGTAGCGAAATCGCTTGGATGAGAAACCGGGAGGTGCAGCATCGTAGAAGGTGTCCTTGTCAACATTGGCTAGAGAGATTCTTCTATTAGGCCAATCCATGATCGCTCCAGCTGTGGCTAGGAATGATCTTCCAAGCAAAAGCTTTAAGTCCTCCGGATCCTTCATGGTTACTACATAGAAGTTGGCTGGAACTATGCAGCCTCCAAAATCAAGCTGAATGTCTTTAACCTCTCCAAGTGGTTCGGTCAATGATGAATCAGCTAGCTTTAAATCCATTCGAGATTTCACAATTGAATTGATCAATCCCAACTTCTTGGCTATCTCGGCCGGCATAAGGTTCACACTAGAACCGGAATCGCAAAGAGCATCATCAAAGTAGCTTCCATTGATAGAGAAATGTATAAGGAAGTAACCTGGGTCATGAAGCTTGTGTAGAAACCTAGGTTTAGGCATCCCCTTTCTTGCTTCCTCGTACATCTTTTCCAATTCAGCTAGACTCCAATCTTGTGTCCAAGCTAGGTCTTGCATGAATGGACTCTTGTTGCAAGCATTATCAAACGGCACACCATAAGGGAATCTCCTCGCCATAAAGTTGAAATCATCTATGATCTCTTCAAGTGATGATCTTGTCTTCCTCTTCTCCTTGGTGGGAGGCGGTTGTGAAGACCTTTGAGTAAGGGTTCTTCCTTTTGGTGCTATCTTCTCTCTTGTTCCAGTGGTTAGCCTTCGTGGCTCTTTCTTGATCAGCTCTCTTTCTTCTTCATCCCAAATCACTCTTGGGTCGGTCTCTCTTATAGTAAAGACGGGCGCGGCATGTTGTGCTTAGGAACGGTCGTCTTTGCTCGGTCAAGACCTTCTCTTCCAAGTTGGCTAAGCGAGTGGTTAAATCCTTGACTTCCTTGGAGACTCCATCTACTTTGTCTTCAAGCCCTCTAGCTCTTCTTTGAATATCTTGGCTCCTCTTGTCTAGAGAGATGTGTAAATCTCGGATTTGTGCCTTCACTTGTTTTTGCCCTTCCACCAATGTAAGCATCGTCGAGTAACATTGCCTCTCCTTTAGGTTACTTCGGCTACCTCCCTCTTAGCTTGATGAGCTACTGCTGTTATTGAATTGAGACTCTTGGTGGTGCCATCGAGGTTGTTATCAAGACTTGAGATCTTCTCATCTAAGTGATTGTCCATCTCCTTGGTAGAAACTTTGGTAAAGTGTATCGCTCTCCTATTGTCTTCAATGGCCTCGCCTTGCTTCTTCAAATCTTCCTCCATGTCCAAGCATCTTGACTCTACTCTCTCTATTTGGGTAGAGAGTTCTCCAAGTCTTCCATCTAGTTCGTATCGCGTGAACTCTAGCTTTGTCTCAATGTCGCGGCTAGTTTTCTTTGGCTCTCCATGAAACCCTCAAGCACGGCATCGAAATGGCTATCTCTCCGCCTATTGAGAACATGGTCGTGGTGTGAATGCAACACTGGTCTAGGTGGTTGATGATAAACCGGAGGTCGGTTTTGATGATGATGGTAATGATGCTCGTCTCGGCTAGGTCCTTCAAACGTCGGATGAGCGCGGTTGGGAGGGAACGGATGTGGCACGATGCTTACGGCTGGGTCTTGGTAACTCCGGCCGTGGAGATCGTGTGGGATCAGTGTCCGGTTCCCAAAGTGGATGTTGGTGTTGTGATTCATCTCCAAGTACCTATAAACACAAGATTTAAAAAGAAAAAGTTAGTATTCGAAAATACCAAGATCTAGACTTAGTTTTAAACAAGACTATGCAAGTGTTTATGATGCAATCCCCGGCAACGGCGCCAAAAACTTGATGCGCGCATCTATGGGATGAGTACAAGTAATAATTCCCTAAGACAACTAGTGTTGCAAGTGCACAACATATAATTGTAGTATTTAGGGGTCGAACCACAAGGGATTGGATTTCACACATTACATAATCATAGAGTTTAAATGACTAAGCTAAATCAAAAGATGCAAGGGTTTGTGTTTGTTTAGAACACGCAAAAGAAATAACAATGCAATTCTATACAAGCAACATTATTGAACTATTGAAAACTCTTTTGAAAACATGAGCCAAGTCGATTGAAAAGTTTGTTAAAATCCGATTCTTTTGAACTCAAAACACTAAGGAAGGATTATTCCACTTTCGTGGTTCCAATCCCCTATGTCTCTTAAACCAATGGGCTCAGCTTTCGTTGGTCATTGTAGAGTGAGACATGCATTACATCCAAGTAATGATTGTTCACAAAACTCTTTAGGTCTACTTTCGTAGCCTAAAACGATTTGCCCATCAAATATATATCCGGAGATATAACAAGCTTTTGGAGAGTATATCAACCTAAAATCAAGTCACTAGTTAGCTACTCTAGCAACAAGCATTAAGCATAAATAAAGATGGAGAACCATAGGGTTTCCCCTTTTAACAATCGATTTTCGATGGCCATTATATCACGTCCTCATTGGAAGGATCCATAATTCAACAATGAGTCTTAGATAGTAGATGAAGTCTCATGAATCCTTAGAGAGAGAGGCGGCGGAATATGACTAAACCACGCCTCACCCTTAGGGAGAAATCTCTACTTCTAGACTATATAAATTGAAACATGCAAGCTATATACAAATGCAAAAGAAGAAAAGAAAGAAGAAGGAGACCACCTAAGTGGCTCCGAACTTTATTGAATAAGTGTTTCTTGTTATGCGGCTGGTGATTCTTATTACAAGAGGCTAAAAGCAAGTATATATAGGTAGAGAGCGGGTCTAGGTCGGCAAAGTTGAGCGCGCGCAGAAGAGGAAAGTTTCCATTTCTCTTTAGCCGCTTGAGCTTGCTCTCCAAGTTCTTGAATGGGCCGCGTTCAGGCCAATGGAAGCTTCTGGATTGAGTTATGCTAGTGTCAAGATGAGCCAAGGCCTTGGGCGCGGTATCCGGGCCTCTTGATCCATCAAAGTCTCCATGGGCTCTACTTAGGCGCTCGTCGGACATGTCTTGGTAGAAAATAAGTTCCGGTCCAACGAGTGATCCAAATGACCTCTTTCCACTTCGCCGCGGGTCACGACTCAAATATCTATCTTTCCATATAAGAATCATGACTTTTGGACGTCGGGAAGGCATGAATATGCGGTCGTACTTCGGATGCTCCGGTTTGGTCTTTAGCGAGAAATGTAGATTTTGGTGCTCTAGACTTGGGAACTTGGTGATTTGACTCTTTTTGCTCCATTTTGGACTCTTCTTTGCTATTTTGACCTGAATGATGCTCAAAACCAGAATATACAAGAAAACTACCTCTTGGGCTTAAAAACCACATTATTTGTATTAAAAACATAGTGAAAACCTTGATAAAAACATGAAAGATATGGATATATCACTTAGCCTTCTTCCTTGTTGAAACCGGGTGCTATAGGCCGTGGTCTTGTAAGTGAGAAGGTGATCAAGGAAGGGAATGAGGTTTCCTGTGTTTGATCTGTCTCCCCTGATCTTCCTTCCATCGCTTGTGTATGAGAGGATGGGCTTGATTCCCATGTCAAGAAGCTTGAGCTCTCCTTCATTAATGGTGCCGGTTGCCTTCCTTGCAAAGAAAGTGTTGGCAAGTGCCTTGTGCACATACCTCAGCACTGGAGTTCTGATTTGAGCCCCCTTAGACCGTGAGGAGGAGTATTCTCCTTCAGCGATTGTAGCCCAAACACTTTGGAGCTCTCTTTCCTTGAAATCCCATTGAGTTCCTTCTCCATAGTTGAAGCCAAACAAGATCTCCAACTGCCTAAAGGTTACCATCCTCTTGACTCCATTAGCCAAAAAACCTTATCCACCCCAATCCTTGATCCAAATCGGCTCTATCCTCCTCATCATACATGTAGTACCTCAATGAAGCCAAGAACTTACAAGTGAGCTCCTTGTATGACTCAATGCGATGAGAAAAGAACCTCCCCAAGTGCATGTTCTTGAGTACCAACTCCACGTCATTGAAGATTCCAAGAGCCTCCATAGTTTTGTCATGAAGGTACTTGGTTTCCACAAAATCCATGGAGAATAGAGCATTGTAGTACTCTTGGAACATGGGGAGTTCATCCTCCTCTTCTTGTGGCTCAGCTTCCTCCATTGGTACATCTTCATTACTCTCATGCCCACTTCCATCAACCTCTTGATCAACCTCTTCTCCTTGTTCACTTTGAGAGTCATCACTCTCCTCTCTTGCAACATTCACCCCAATCTCAAACTCTCCCAATTCGCTCTCACTGCTAATGGGATCATTCCATGTCTTAGTCCTTCGTTCCTCCCTTAACCTCTCAATCTTTTCCACATCATCTTTGCTCATCCCCTCTAGCATTCTCCTTGCACCTCTTGCTATTTCCTTCTTTCCAAGAGTTGCCTTGCTTCTTTCACCTCTCAACATCTTAAACTTGTTGCTTCTCAAAGTTGAATCCCTAAAATCCCTGAAAGGTCCAAAGAATTAGAATTGTAATGATCGATTCGGTCAACTCGACACCCAACTCGATCAAGTAAAAAAACTCGAGTGACAAACTCGATCGAGCTAGGTGAAAACATAGCAAACCGAATCTAAATCAAGTATTAAGAGCAGGATAGGATGCTAAATAATCAAATTGAACTAAGAAATCAAGAACTTGGAACAATAAGCAATTCTAGTGTAGATTAGAGCATCCTAGCCAATACCAAACTCAAATTCAAAGGTTTTAAGCACATGCAACAATTTCAATGTCAAAACAGAGGTGAGGTGAGGCAGGTTCATGAAATTCTATAAGAAAAAGATGAATATGAATGCAATTCTCAAGAACAAACTCACAAGACACACATGCAATCAAAAATTCAAGAGAACAAAATGCAATGAGAGATAGAGAGGAATCAAAACTATAGATTTTGAGGGTTTAGGGATCAAACCTTGCTTGAATGATGGCTGTTCTAGAACAAAAGCTAGAAACTAAAGCAGTTTAAGAGATAGAACAAGGAAAAATCGCAAAACTCAAGGGATGAAGAGAGATATTCTGGATTTTCTTAGAGAGAAGAGAGAGAGAGATAGGTGATTTCATGAAATTTTGAGTGTGGGAAAAAGAGAGAGGGGTGTGCGATCGAAATTTTGAATGCTCCATGAATACCATGTTTCTGAGCCATTGTGAGTGAGATAAGCTTGATATTAGCACCAGAATCGACCAAGGCATTGTCAAGCTTCAAATGTCCAAGTTGACAAGGAAGTGTAAACTTTCCTTGATCCTCAAACTTTGGCAGGAAAGTGGGTGAGGTTAGGATGTTGGTTTGAGAAGTACAATCTTCCAGAAGCTTAGACACTTTATCACTGTTCTAAAACATCTTGAATCATTGCATTTGCTCAAATGCCTCACTCATGCTTTCCATAGCGGCAACTCAACTCCAATCCACTAAGGTCTCTTCTGAACTTGTGAATCACTTCCTTATGGCCTTGACTGAGTAGGCGACCTGAGAATGGATCAACTGGCTGGTAAGGATCAAGCAAAATCGGTTTGGAGGACTGATGGTTCCTGACTCGATCGAGCTGCGATCGAGCTTGTTGTGCGAGCTCAACTGGTGAAGTGTGAATGGCTATGGTAGTAGCTGCACTTCAGGTTGATCAATCTGGACTCCAGGAGCCTCAGCAGCAACAATCTCGTCATCATTCAGCAGCAAACAAAACTCTTCCATGACTCTCTCTTGATCCTCTTCTTCATCAAGCCTTCTTGAGTGAAGATGACCTTGCACTGTTCCTTGGGGTTCTGAATGCTTTACCAGGTAGTTGTCCTTGCTTTGTAGCAGCAGCAACAGAAGAAGCATGATTCTCCAGAGAGTACACTCTTGTGTTGAGATTCTCAATCTTGGAGTTGATTTCAGCTACTTCTTGCTTGTGTCCACAACACCATCAGCTTGCCCTTGAAGCAATTGTTTCAGCATAGCCTTGAGCTCATTCTCAGTGTAGGTGCAGGCTGGGGTGGTTGGTGGGGAAAGCCAGGTGGTATGTGCATTTGCTGACCAGGAAAAGTCCCTTGAGGGCCTTGGTAGTTGTTTTTTGGACCATACCCATGTTGTGGGGCTTGACTCGATCGAGCTTGCTGTTGTTGAGGATAACCTGGTCCTGAGGGTTAGCAACATCAGTGTTTCTGTATGACATGGCTGGGTTGGACTTGTAATTATAGTATCCTTTGTTGTAACCTCCTTGCCCATTGCTCATGTAACATACTTCAGCAAATTGTGTATCCTCCCCTTCTTGGACTGGTTCCATCTCTTCAGCAGACACAAAATTGACTTTCTTCATTGTGGACTGAGCTAAGATAAGCTTATCCAACTTCTCATTCAATGATTTGACATCTTTTCTCAATTTCTCATCTGACTCGATCGAGTGGTGGGTCGAGCTCCGGTTGGTGCGATCATACTCTTCTCCATAGCTTCCATTGGAGTTTGCAATGTTTTCCACAAGCTGCCAGCCATCATCTACATCCTGATTAAGGAAGTTCCATTGCTGGCTGTGTCCAACATCTCTCTATACCTTGCCAAGCAACCTCTATAAGAGTAGAGAGCAATGACTCATTGTTGAAGCCATGATGTGGGCACTGACTTGTGTAGCCCTTGAATCTCTCCCAAGCCTCAGCAAAAGTCTCATTGTTCCTCTGATGAAGCTGATATCTCACTCCTTAGCTTGGCTGTGCGACCGGTGGAGAAAAACTTAGCAAGAAAGGCCTTCTTGCATTCATCCCAAGTGGTGATTGTGCCATGGGGCAAGCTCTTCTCCCATTGGTGAGCTTTGTCAGCAAGAGACATAGGAAAGAGTCTCAGCTTGATGGCATCTTCAGAGACACCATTGATCTTTGTCAAATCACATAACCTATCAAACTCATCAAGGTGATCAATGGGGTCTTCACTTGGCAATCCATGGAACATCTTGTTCTGACAAGGTTGATCATTCCCAGCTTGATCTCAAAGTTGTGGTTCTGCACAGGTGGTGGGACAATCCCTTGTCTTTGTTGATGGCGGTTTGGAGCATCTCCTAGACCAATCGGTCGAGGTTGCCTAGCTCGACCGAGTCCATTGCCCAAAGGGTTTCCATTCCCCTCTGGTACATCCATGGTTTCAGTAACAAGCACCTCAGGTTCTCTTGTACCCTCTGAGTCCTCTGACTTCTCTTTCTACCCGTGTGAAATCTAGCTCGACCAAGTCTTCTGTTGTTCGACTCGATCGAGTTCGCATACACCTGCAAAAAGAATCAAAAACCCAGCAATACAAAGAACAGGGGTGGGATAGCTTGATCGTCCAAGTGTATTTGGAAACTCAAATGCAACAATATTCAACCCAAATGGCAACGGCGCCAAATTGATGATAGGATTTGTGTGTGTGTGAGATGAATGATGTGAAATGATATGAGGTGGAATGCAACAGTGGTAATAAGATGATGGTATGGTGCAATCACAATCAATCAATTCCCTTAACCATCATAGTCATGTAGTATAAGAGGTTATCAATCCAAAAGGGTGAAATGTTGCTCTATGAGATATGCAAACACAAGAAAGTCAAGCAGTACAATAAGATGGGTAACACTAACAACCTAATGAAATGAAATGCAATGCAGAAAGTAAAAGAAAGCAGTAAGCAAGCAGCTCGACCAAGGACTCGAGTCGAGTGGGAACAGAGTAACCGTCTCGAGTTGAGGGTCGAGTTAGAAGTAAAAAGCGATAAAGGCGAACTTTAAGAAGCTAATGCGAATATTAGGGTCTAAGACAGGGTCTTACAACTAGGGGAAGACTATACTTAATCAATCTTGCTCTTAAACAACTTGTATCAAGGTATCTCTTGATATTGAGCTTCTCAATGCCTAGCTAACCCTTTCCCAAGGTGAAAGCTATCAACCAAGGCAAGATCTCAGAAACAGGGGGTTAGCCAGTGAGAATCAAGCCTTGGAGGCATAGGATCATTGCTCAAACTAATCCATCCAACCTATGAACTCCATTTCGAGAGCAAGGTTTATTGGAGCTCTTAGTGGACCTTTTCAAGCGATTTCCCAACATTCCCATGAGGAAAATCGCCTAGACTTATACAAGCCATGGTCAGTGGTTGTGTAGCCTTAAGGCTTGTCCAAAAGAGAGAGATTTCTAGATTAAGAACACAAAGCAAAGAGATTAAGCATAAGGATCCTCTAATCTAGCCCATCTTAAACCCTAAATAGAACTACTCACTACACATGAATGAAATACACAAAAATGCAATGAAAGAGACATTAAATGAAAGAGGGAATGAAACTAAAAACTTTTATTGAAATAAGCAAGTGCAAAATACAAAGGAAATAAGCCTAGATCTAAGGTTCAAGGAGCATGAAGCTCAAGAACACATAGAGAGCTAAAAGAGTTTGCAAAAAATAAATTACAAGATTAAGGAAAAGCAAAAACAAAAAAAAAGATTGTTGTCTTTTTCGTGGCTAAGAGTGATATCTTGCGTATTTGACGCATTCTAACCTTGTTTTCACGAGTTTTATCGAGTCTTTCTAGTCTTTATCGAGTCTTTTCAGGTCTAAAGACGTTCAGGGAGAGCTTTGGTCACATGGACCAACAACAGGCGAAAGCAGGCAAAACGGAGAAAGGAGCTCGATCGAACCACTACGAGTCGATCGACCTGTCACCAACAGCTCGATCGACCTATGAGAGTGAGTCGATCGACCCATGCACGTACAGCTCGATCGATCCCTCACGGTACCGCTCGATCGATCCCGTATACAGCTCGATCGATCCCATGCGCGCATGCATCGATTGATCTCAGCCGTCCAACTGGTCACATGATCGATCTCACCGGTTCGATCGAACCGCGAACCGGATTGAACCGAAGTCGACCCCGGAGCTATTTAGACCTATCTTTAGCCATTGTTTAGGCTACGCCGTTTTTCAGAGTTTACACTGTTTTCATTGTTTCTGAGGGAGAAGAGATCGAACCTCTGTTTTTCACAGTTTGGAGAAGATTTCTGAACCCTTGTTTTTGCTATTTTCTATTTGATTCAATGACATTCAGTTTGTCATTGTTTGCTGTTTCACCATGTCTGAGTAGTCACTGCTAGATCTAGGTTTTTCAAAGGGATTCATGTGTTAACTTGACTGAATACAGATAGGGCTTTAATACTGTCTTCGCCATTGTTGCATTCACTGCTTAGATCGATCTGATCACTCGATCTCTGATCTCAGATTACCTGTTCATCAAAAGTGCAATAGGTTGTTAGAACGAACTGTGGTGAGCGAATCGTCCTTAGCCTGCGAAAGTTGATGCTAGGCGATTCGTGAACTTATCGAACCTGTGCGCATTGCTTGTCATCAATTGCTAGATTCAAACGACAGTTTAGACATCTAGGTTGTTAGATAAAGTTGTCATTATCGCGAAAGTGAATTGACATATTTTTTGTTTGAGTTCGAGACCTGTTCTTTATCTGTGCCCTGAATAGTTGTTTGGTTGTTAACCGTGAATCTCTGCGAATTGCCTTGGTCTAGTCCCTGTTTATTGAATTACATCAACGTTTACATTCGTTACCTGTTACTAAAACCAATCATCTTGTCTTAGCTCTGTTTTGAATCTCCTAGTTTCACAGTGTAACGCTGGTCCTCTGGATTTCGAATCCTTTATATTACAATCTTCATCACTGTTAATTTGCAGTAGAGAAAAGGACCTATTTCTAGTTTATCAAATTTGGCGCCGTTGCGACGGGGACCAATTCGTTACCTCTTGATTCTTGATTTAAAATTTAGTCTAAGATTTACTAACTTGTTCTCTCTTGTTTTTCCTGTGTGTGTTTCAGGTGCATGATCACTAGATCTCGACGGAGCAACCGCAACGAAGAGCTTCTGATCCTGTCCAACGCAGAACTTGCAAGAGCAGAACGAGCAAACAGACAACGAAGGCCGAATCCAGCCGACATGGGCGATAACGGCAACCCGAACATGGCTGCTCAGTTGCAGCAGCTTCAGCAGCAGATCGAGCAGATGCGGAAGGCTCAACAAGATCGAGAACCGCAACCTCGTCCTGCTATTGGAGACAAGGACAATCCGCACACCTTCTATCAAAACCGGTCTGCGATTGTCCCCCAAACGTCAGAGGCAAGACTTCGAGATCAAGCCAGGCATGATCGCTCTAGTCAAGGATCACATCTTCCATGGACTTCCTGCTGAGATTCCGGCGGACCATATCCAGAACTTTGAGGAGATATGCAGCACGACTGGTTCGAATGGAGTACCGGCTGACTTTCTGAAGTGCAAGCTATTCCCGTTCTCACTTGCCAACAAAGCATCTCGCTGGCTGAAGTCATTACCACCTGGTCTTTGACTTCATGGGACCAAGTTAGAGCAGCTTTCCTGGACCACTTCTACACGAAGTCCAAGAATGCAGCTCTAAGGACGAAGATCGCATCTTTCCAGCAGTATGATGGAGAAGCTTTCTGCGAAGCATGGGAGAGATACAAGGAGTGCCGAAGAGAGTGTCCTCATCACGGATACTCTGACGAGCAGATCTGAGCATCTTCTATGATGGAGTCAACTGGGACTACAGGAACGCTTTGAACGCAGCCAGCAATGGCGATTTCATGACGAAGTCCAAGGAGGGTGCATTCGAGCTGATCGAGAATCTTGCAGCGAGCTCGAGCAACAAGAACGCTGAGTACGACAGAACAGTGAGCACTGTATCTGTCAAAGGAAGCAGTGCTGACGCGAAGAAGATTGAGGAGCTCACTGCGAAGGTGAATCTATTGATGAAGGCGCAGCAGAAGTCTGTTCATTTTGTTGACGAGAACGATGATGCACCTATCTCTCAAGAGTTTGGAGGAGAAGAGGACGACGATGATCAGATGGAGGTCAACTATGTGAATGGGCAACCTTTTGTGCCGAACCGTGGTTTCAACTCGAACTACAGAAACCATCCGAACATGTCCTACAGGAGCACCAACGTCGAGAACCCTCAGGATCAGGTCTATCCGCCTCGATCGAACCAGAACCAGCAGAGCTATCCTAACAGCTTCCAGGAGAAGACCTTTGCCCCAAACCAGAATCGTTCTCAAGGTGGTAACCAACAGAAGGCGCAGTTCAGCAATCAGCAACAACCTTCAGGTTCATCGAACAACTCGAACGATGAGCTTAAGGGTATGATGCAGCAGATGTTGATGAACCAGCAGAAGTCCACTGCGGAGACACACTTGAAGATAGACACCATGTACAACGATCTGAATGGGAAGTACGAAGCTGTGTGGACTCACGTGAAGAAGCTGGATGTCCAAGTAGCTCAAACCGCTGAAGCTGTGAAGAGACCTCAGGAACCCTTCCTGGGAAAGGAGAGCAAACCCCAGGAATGAGTATGTTGCACAAGTTGAGCTGAGAAGTGGAAGGAAGCTACATTACCTGCTGCGATTCCTCGAAAAGGGCAGGCAAGGAGAAAGCCGAGAGAACCTGGAAGAGAAAGTGAAGTCGATCGAGCTGCTCCAGCGGAGTCGATCGAGCTGGTGATGACGCTTCGTCGTCTCAGGAATAGCTGACCTACCCTCCTGCAGCTGCAGAGACTGCTCCAGCCAGAGCTTACACCTAAGGTGCCTTACCCTGTTCCACGGAAGAAGTCCAGAAAAGACTTGGAGGATGCTAAGTGTAAGGAGATGCTGAAGGACTTGACTGTGAAGCTGCCTCTGTCTGATGCTGTTCAGATGATTCCTGCTCTGAAGAAGTACATGAAGGAGCTGATATCTGGGAAAGTAGCTGAGGATGAGAACGTCATGCTAGTGTCAGAGGAGTGCAGCGCTGTGCTGCAGAACAAGGTGATCAAGAAGAGGAGCGATCCAGGAAGATTTGTCTTGTCAGTGCAGATTGGCCATATGACCTTCGCATGCTCTCTTTGCGATCTTGGCTCGAGCGTGAACCTGATGCCATATTCTGTGGCCAAGCGACTGGGATACACAAGTTCAAACCCACGAAAGTCTCCTTGGTTTTCGCTGACAGATCGACCAAGTTCCCAGTCGGTATACTTGAGGATCTACATGTGCAGATAGGGAACACACTCATTCCAGCAGATTTTGTAGTCCTCGAGCTCGACGAAGAGCCTAAGGATCCGCTCATCCTAGGGCGAAACTTCCTATGCACAGCTGGTGCAATCATTGACGTGAAGGGAGGAATCATTGATCTCCATCTGGGAGATATCGTCATGAGGTTCGAGATGAACAAACTCCTCAAGAAGCCAATGTTAGATGGGCAAACTTATGTGATTGAAGATGGCTCAAACTTGGTGGACGAAGTGAGTGAGGAGATGCTTCTTGACGACCCTCTGGAGGTAGCTTTGACTAAAGCTGAAGGCGAGTATGATTTCCTGAATGAGGAAGCCGATGGCTTCGGGAAGATGATGGATGCGAGCGGCAAGATGGAGAGACTGGTGGCGTTCATGAGCTTGGAGGAGGAGGATCGATCGAAGCCGTGCCAGATCGATCGAATGCACCTCAGGAGAGTCCCGTCAACAGCCCTTGGAGCGAGTCGAGCGCACCTAAGCTCGAGCTGAAAACACTCCCTGCGGGGCTCAGGTATGCATTTCTGGGACCTAACTCTACATACCCTGTGATAGTGAATGCTGAGCTGAACAATGTTGAACTTGCTTTGCTTCTCTGTGAGCTTAGGAAGTATAGAAAAGCTATAGGGTATTCGCTAGATGACATCCCTGGAATTTCTCCTGATCTTTGCATGCATAGAATACATCTAGAAGATGAATCGATGACTTCTGTAGAACATCAGAGGAGGTTAAACCCGAATCTAAAAGATGTTGTCAAGAAAGAGATAATGAAACTTCTAGATGCTGGTGTAATTTATGCTATATCTGATAGTAAGTGGGTCAGTCCTGTGCATGTAGTTCCTAAGAAAGGTGGTATAACTGTTGTTAAGAATGATAGGAACGAGCTGATACCCACTAGAACTGTCACTGGTCATCGCATGTGCATTGATTACCGCAAACTGAATGCTGCAACTCGCAAAGATCATTTTCCTCTCCCATTTATTGATCAAATGCTTGAGAGATTGGCTAACCATCCATACTACTGCTTTTTAGATGGTTACTCAGGTTTCTTTCAGATCCCCATCCACCCAGACGACCAGGAGAAGACGACATTCACATGTCCATATGGCACTTATGCTTATCGCAGAATGCCGTTTGGACTGTGCAATGCACCGGCCACGTTCCAGCGCTGCATGATGTCTATTTTCACTGACCTTATTGAGGACATAATGGAAGTTTTCATGGACGACTTTTCCTGTCTATGGAAGCTCCTTTGCTGTGTGTTTGTCTAATCTGTGCAGGGTATTGCAGCGGTGTGAGGAGAGACATCTTGTGCTGAACTGGGAGAAATGCCACTTCATGGTGAGAGATGGGATCGTGCTGGGACATAGGATTTCAGAGAAGGGAATCGAGGTCGACAGAGCGAAGATCGAGGTGATGATGAGTCTACAGCCGCCTAATTCTGTCAAGGGAATCCGCAGCTTTCTGGGGCATGCAGGGTTCTACAGGCGATTCATCAAGGACTTCTCCAAGATCACCAGACCTTTGACGATGCTGTTGTGTAAGGAGGTCAAGTTCGACTTTGACAGTACATGTTTGGAGGCCTTTCACACGATCAAGGGAGCTCTGGTGAGTGCTCCAATTGTCCAACCTCCTGACTGGAACCTTCCGTTCGAGGTGATGACAGATGCTAGTGACTATGCTGTCGGAGCGGTTCTGGGCCAGAGAAAGGAGAAGAAGCTGCACGTGATCTACTACGCCAGTCGCACACTTGATGAAGCTCAGTGCAAGTACGCTACGACTGAGAAGGAACTATTGGCGGTGGTGTTTGCATTTGAGAAGTTTCGGTCCTATCTTGTTGGATCGAAGGTGATTGTCCATACTGATCACGCTGCCTTGAAGTACTTGCTGACGAAGAAGGATGCGAAGCCGAGACTCTTGAGATGGATTCTTTTGCTTCAGGAGTTCGATCTGGAGATCAAGGATAAGAAAGGGATTGACAATGGTGTAGCTGATCACCTGTCAAGGATGAAGATCGATGATGACGTCCCTCTAGACGACAGTTACCTGATGAGCACGTCTACGCTGTTGAGGTGATCGACTACGGCGAGCCCCTGCTCGCAGATGATGGAGTTCGATCGAGTGCACCAGAAGGAGATCGATCGAATGGGATGACGGAGATCGTGCTTTGAGCTGTAACGCCGTTGACCGTCCAGTTTCCCATGGTTCGGAGAGATAGCGAATTACCTCGCTGCTGAGCATGAACCTACTGGTTTGTAGGGAACAAGAAGAAGAAGTTCTTGAGAGACATAGGCGCTATTTCTGGGATGAGCCATACCTGTACAAGCACTGCACCGATGGAGTCTACAGGAGATGTGTAGCTGATGAGGAGATACCTGGGATCTTGTTCCACTGTCATAGCTCGTCTTATGCTGGACACTTCGCCACGTACAAGACTGTATCCAAGCGCTACAAGCTGGCTACTGGTGGCCCACCATGTTCCGAGATGCACACAGATTCGTGTCTAAGTGTGATGTATGCCAGAGACAGGGGAACATCAGTAAGAGAAACGAGATGCCACAGAACTTCATTCTGGAAGTAGAGGTTTTTGATCGAGTCGGCTTTTGATTGTGTGTTCATGTGTTCTATCGAGCTTGAAATTGAGGTTGATAATGTTTGACGATTTTGCTACGGTTTCGGTCGAGTAGGTTTTAGTTTAAATGTATCAGTGAATTGATTAAGGCTGTTAGCGTTGTTAGCTGGGTCTCGCTTGTAATTGAGTCGACCGCGTGGTTTTGGTATTCATTCGATCGAGTGATCGTTGTTTACCACGCGGTCGAAGTAAAACCTCTCTGACTCTTGCTACTTGTGTGATTTTCAGGAACAGAGGCGGCGACGGATACTCACGCAGGCGAGAGGAGATCGCGAGAGGGAAGAGACCCGTCGTCGAGCCCGATGACGACTTCGTGGAGGACTCGACCATGCAGGGCGCACCTTTTCCTGAGACCCGCGAGACGACGAGCCCGAGGACACTGTCAGAGATCGAGATGCTGCGTCTCCGCACCCTCCTCGACATGAAGTTTGCCGGGACGCGGTATGCAGACAGAGACACTGCAGACGCTCCGCATCGCCGAGGACGTCGACGAGATGTTCACCAACCTAGGGATCGCTCGACTCATGTACCAGCAGCACGAGGTCTTACCGGAAGGCGACTTGCCTTTTCCTTGCCACATTCACAACGATCCTTGCGACGACGGCAAGTACACATGACGGCAGCGACGGCTACATCACATTCTGGGCCACTGGACGGAGGCACCACCTCTCATACAGAGATCGACCGAGCTCTCTCTACCGCCGGGCAACCGTCTCAGCCTCGACGTCGACCGCGACGAGATGTCCGCTCTCTGGGGGACGATCGCGTTTGGGGAGTACTTCTCCTCAAGTGCGAAGTCCTCTCACATCAGGAGCCCGCCGATCCGCTACTTCCACAAGGCGATCGCCAACACGCTCTTCTCCCGACAGGCCACCGGGAACGTCACAGAGACGGAGATGGCCATGATCGACGTGGCACTCACAGGCATCCCGTTGAGACTGATCAACGGGACCCAGCTCAGAGGCAGCAGATCACACGGAGGCATCACGCTCGCGCTTGTAGCCAGCTCCGCTCTTACCAGGATTGGGCGTCGAGGAACAGAGCATCCGGCACAAGTGCACACTGCGGATGGGCGGCTTGGTCACACCTCTTCTACGCGCCGTCGGCTTCACACCTGACAGAGAGGAGGAGGTCGCACCACCCGAGGCTCGACATCGAGTACCTGAGGAACAGCGTCTTCTTGCAGAAGACGTCAGACGCCAGCCGACTCCTGTACCAGTTCACTCACGTTCAGCTCGGCGCTTCCCGCATGTTGCTTCCCAGCCCCAGCTGGACGACGATCAGAGGAGGGTCCAACGTCGAGTTCAACCCACCTCAGTCAGCTCTCTACACCGGAGATCGACCGACCGCCAGAGACTACGCCACACCTCAGGCGACCACACACCGCGGCGATCCACCACACGAGCTCGACACACGCAGACGGACGAGCTCGACCACTTCACTTCGCCAGCTACGCCACCACCGCCAGACAGACGCCGGACTGAAGGCGGCTCACCAGCACATCGCATTCTTCAGCGGTGGAACAAGGCGCAAGACAAGATCACCAGCAAGCTCAAGAGCAAGGTGAAGAAGATGGCCGATCAGATCCGTGCCATGCAGGACAAGCTGAGCTGTGTTGCCTCAGCTTCAGGAGGTGTACACAGGACCGCAGTCGGTCCACGCCAGGCGGACCCCTCCGAGGACGACGACGAGCCACACCACGACACCACCGGAGGACGACCACTACCTCCTGACCCACCACGACACTCTTCCTTCGAGCCGCGACAGCAGCGGAAGAGGCGCTTCAGAGAGCCGCAGACAGCGAGACCATCAGGCGCAGGAGCTGACGCAGACTTGCCATTCAGGCGATGCAGCTCTACTTCGAGGCCGACAGCGCCGACAGACCACACACCGCCGACGAGAGCTCCGCCGGACCAGTAAGTGCCTTTGATATACCCATATCTTTCATGTTTTTATCAAGGTTTTCACTATGTTTTTAATACAAATAATGTGGTTTTTATGCCCAAGAGGTAGTTTTCTTGTATATTCTGGTTTTGAGCATCATTCAGGTCAAAATAGCAAAGAAGAGTCAAAATGGAGCAAAAAGAGTCAAATCACCAAGTTCCCAAGTCTAGAGCACCAAATCTACATTTCTCGCTAAAGACCAAACCGGAGCATCCGAAGTACGACCGCATATTCATGCCTTCCCGACGTCCAAAAGTCATGTTTCTTATATGGAAAGATAGATATTTGAGTCATGACCCGCGGCGAAGTGGAAAGAGGTCATTTGGATCACTCGTTGGACCGGAACTTATTTTCTACCAAGACATGTCCGACGAGCGCCTAAGTAGAGCCCATGGAGACTTTGATGGATCAAGAGGCCCGAGATACCGCGCCCAAGGCCTTGGCTCATCTTGACACTAGCATAACTCAATCCAGAAGCTTCCATTGGCCTGAACGCGGCCCATTCAAGAACTTGGAGAGCAAGCTCAAGCGGCTAAAGAGAAATGGAAACTTTCCTCTTCTGCGCGCGCTCAACTTTGCCGACCTAGACCCGCTCTCTACCTATATATACTTGCTTTTAGCCTCTTGTAATAAGAATCACCAGCCGCATAACAAGAAACACTTATTCAATAAAGTTCGGAGCCACTTAGGTGGTCTCCTTCTTCTTTCTTTTCTTCTTTTGCATTTGTATATAGCTTGCATGTTTCAATTTATATAGTCTAGAAGTAGAGATTTCTCCCTAAGGGTGAGGCGGTTTAGTCCATATTCCGCCGCCTCTCTCTCTAAGGATTCATGAGACTTCATCTACTATCTAAGACTCATTGTTGAATTATGGATCCTTCCAATGAGGACGTGATATAATGGCCATCTTGAATCGATTGTTAAAAGGGGAAACCCTATGGTTCTCCATCTTTATTTATGCTTAATGCTTGTTGCTAGAGTAGCTAACTAGTGACTTGATTTTAGGTTGATATACTCTCCAAAAGCTTGTTATATCTCCGGACACAATATTTGATGGGCAAATCGTTTTAGGCTACGAAAGTAGACCTAAAGAGTTTTGTGAACAATCATTACTTGGATGTAATGCATGTCTCACTCTACAATGACCAACGAAAGCTGAGCCCATTGGTTTAAGAGACATAGGGGATTGGAACCACGAAAGTGGAATAATCCTTCCTTAGTGTTTTGAGTTCAAAAGAATCGGATTTTAACAAACTTTTCAATCGACTTGGCTCATGTTTTCAAAAGAGTTTTCAATAGTTCAATAATGTTGCTTGTATAGAATTGCATTGTTATTTGCTTTTGCGTGTTCTAAACAAACACAAACCCTTGCATCTTTTGATTTAGCTTAGTCATTTGAACTCTATGATTATGTAATGTGTGAAATCCAATCCCTTGTGGTTCGACCCCTAAATACTACAATTATATGTTGTGCACTTGCAACACTAGTTGTCTTAGGGAATTATTACTTGTACTCATCCCATAGATGCAGCATCAAGTTTTTGGCGCCGTTGCCGGGGATTGCATCATAAACACTTGCATAGTCTTGTTTAAAACTAAGTCTAGATCTTGGTATTTTCGAATACTAACTTTTTCTTTTTAAATCTTGTGTTTATAGGTACTTGGAGATGAATCACAACACCAACATCCACTTTGGGAACCGGACACTGATCCCACACGATCTCCACGGCCGGAGTTACCAAGACCCAGCCGTAAGCATCGTGCCACATCCGTTCCCTCCCAACCGCGCTCATCCGACGTTTGAAGGACCTAGCCGAGACGAGCATCATTACCATCATCATCAAAACCGACCTCCGGTTTATCATCAACCACCTAGACCAGTGTTGCATTCACACCACGACCATGTTCTCAATAGGCGGAGAGATAGCCATTTCGATGCCGTGCTTGAGGGTTTCATGGAGAGCCAAAGAAGAACTAGCCGCGACATTGAGACAAAGCTAGAGTTCACGCGATACGAACTAGATGGAAGACTTGGAGAACTCTCTACCCAAATAGAGAGAGTAGAGTCAAGATGCTTGGACATGGAGGAAGATTTGAAGAAGCAAGGCGAGGCCATTGAAGACAATAGGAGAGCGATACACTTTACCAAAGTTTCTACCAAGGAGATGGACAATCACTTAGATGAGAAGATCTCAAGTCTTGATAACAACCTCGATGGCACCACCAAGAGTCTCAATTCAATAACAGCAGTAGCTCATCAAGCTAAGAGGGAGGTAGCCGAAGTGACACTAAAGGAGAGGCAATGTTACTCGACAATGCTTACATTGGTGGAAGGGCAAAAACAAGTGAAGGCACAAATCCGAGATTTACACATCTCTCTAGACAAGAGGAGCCAAGATATTCAAAGAAGAGCTAGAGGGCTTGAAGACAAAGTAGATGGAGTCTCCAAGGAAGTCAAGGATTTAACCACTCGCTTAGCCAACTTGGAAGAGAAGGTCTTGACCGAGCAAAGACGACCGTTCCTAAGCACAACCATGCCGCGCCCGTCTTTACTATAAGAGAGACCGACCCAAGAGTGATTTGGGATGAAGAAGAAAGTAGAGCTGATCAAGAAAGAGCCACGAAGGCTAACCACTGGAACAAGAGAGAAGATAGCACCAAAAGGAAGAACCCTTACTCAAAGGTCTTCACAACCGCCTCCCACCAAGGAGAAGAGGAAGACAAGATCATCACTTGAAGAGATCATAGATGATTTCAACTTTATGGCGAGGAGATTCCCTTATGGTGTGCCGTTTGATAATGCTTGCAACAAGAGTCCATTCATGCAAGACCTAGCTTGGACACAAGATTGGAGTCTAGCTGAATTGGAAAAGATGTACGAGGAAGCAAGAAAGGGGATGCCTAAACCTAGGTTTCTACACAAGCTTCATGACCCAGGTTACTTCCTTATACATTTCTCTATCAATGGAAGCTACTTTGATGATGCTCTTTGCGATTCCGGTTCTAGTGTGAACCTTATGCCGGCCGAGATAGCCAAGAAGTTGGGATTGATCAATTCAATTGTGAAATCTCGAATGGATTTAAAGCTAGCTGATTCATCATTGACCGAACCACTTGGAGAGGTTAAAGACATTCAGCTTGATTTTGGAGGCTGCATAGTTCCAGCCAACTTCTATGTAGTAACCATGAAGGATCCGGAGGACTTAAAGCTTTTGCTTGGAAGATCATTCCTAGCCACAGCTGGAGCGATCATGGATTGGCCTAATAGAAGAATCTCTCTAGCCAATGTTGACAAGGACACCTTCTACGATGCTGCACCTCCCGGTTTCTCATCCAAGCGATTTCGCTACACAAGTGGAGGAGAGTGCTCACAAGTAAGAGGAGAGTCGCATGGCTACTTGATCAAGGAAGTTCTACAGGACAAGATGCACTTGGAATCATCAGGCAACAGGAAGTTCTTGGAGCCACCAATCCTACCTAACTAAGAACACAAAGGAGTCGAGCTACAAAGACTTAAAACAAGCGCTTGTGGGAGGCAACCCACATTTTCTTATCCCTTCCTCTTTTTATTTTTTTTTTATTTTTATAACTACTTATTTGTTCTATTTATAACTCTTAAATTTTTGAGAGTTTAATAAATTTTACAAAAATAAAATAAAAAGTGTTTTAGGAAAAAGTACCAAAAAGGAGGCTTACATGAAAAATGCATTGGAAAAGCTACATCGCCACAATCGGCCCAAGGATCAACCATCTTTGGTCTAAGTGTCAAGTATTGAGTCTAGTTTGAGTCCCACCCAAGTCCCACCCATGTTTCAAGAAGCAAAGAAGTCCAAGAAGGGCCGCGGCACAACAAAATCCGGCCATTGGAACACTATTGCACAAGGCAAAGGTAAGTATCTTCCATTCTTATGTCATTTCTTTTAAACACTATTCTCTATCAAATTAAACACACATACACTACTTGGATTTCTGATCAAGATCACAAGTACATATGGTTTCACGATCAAGTCTTTGATTGGGAAGTTCAAACTATTTTGAACAACTCAATCATTGACAGAGTTTAACAAAGAGTTACTAGTGTTTTTCAGATATAAATATGACAGGAGAACCGGTTCAAAATATCATACAAACATGGCGCGCAAGGAGCCACAACCGGCCAAAGGAGGATTTACATGCCAAACATGAGAGATGAGGGAAATCCAACCACAATTCAATCCAGGAGGGATAGAAAAACAGTTCGGTCGAAGCAGAACTCAATTGGCCCGAGTAAAAAAGGAGATATCACATCACAACCACTCTCTCGGCCAGAATCGACGAACCAAGCGACAATGCTCGACCATCTCCCAAACGGCACGACCGAAGTCCACCAAACTTCACAGGCGACCTCAAAACATCATTTTGGTCGGCAAATCCAAAAGATAGGACGAGAAAAAGTGCCTGCTACGTGAGATAGACGAGGAAGCTCAATACGGCCGACGGCGATGCATAGAATGGCCGACGAACTCAAAACCTCAAGAAGGCGCGAACACCGGTGGAAACTGATCCTCTGGAGTCCAAAAAACACCAAGGAAGAAGAAAGGAAGGAGACGATCGAACAGATAAGAGATGGCCAAAGGAATCACATCCCGAAGCCATTGGCGCGCACGACGAAAGATCTCCGAATCCACACGTTCAAATCGCCTCAAACTTCACAAGGAGCCACAAAACATAAGGTTGGTCGATGAAATTCATTTCAGTACAATGAATTCCTTACAATTCAAGAGATGGCCGATGGAGTGAAATTTGGCCGATCGCGAGCAAGTAAAATGGCCGACAATCCAAATCACGGCATTTACCGCGGCCACCGGCTCAAATCACCTCCATCAAGCATCCACATCGCATCTAAAGAAGAAAATCCAGATTGGAACGAGCAGAATTGGAGAAGACCGAAGGAAGACGTTCCCGGAGCCAATTTGAAAATTTTTCAAAGGAGATCTCAAACCACTCGTTCAAACGACCCCAAACTTCACCAGTCGCCATATTATACAATATTGGTCGACGAAATTTCAAGATAGGTCGAGGAAATCTTCACGGTTCGAGCTGTAGTCCATACCATCACCATCCGGTCGACCAAAACGGACCAGTCTCGGCCAAAAAGGCGAAAAACAGAAAACCAAGGGAGAATTGTCACATTCATCCAACCAAATCCAACAGCTATGATGTTTGCACCAGTCAGTTCATTCCTGGAAGCAACTCATGCACAACCGATCTTCACATCAAAGGCCAAAAATTTGGGTACAATTTTCTACAAACTCTAACTTTTCCATTCTATTTATCATTACCTCTCTTAATTGGATTTTTCTTACACCGAGACGGTGCAAGTTAAGTCTGGGGGGATTACTAACAAGTTTGTTCTTTTTGAATTTCATTGAGTCGTTTTATTGAGTCAAAATTTTGTCAAAGGATTATGACCTTATCTTGGATCTAACCATTGTTGTGCTAACGTTTAAGTGACCATTGAAGCAGTCTTGGCAATACATCTTACCACAGGGACACTATGAGTTGATCGATCTACCAAAAACGCCCACACCTCCAAGGACTTGAGAAGGATCCACTCTTGACTCCGCCCTTAATGAACTTAATCTTCTCAGCTAGGGGCTTGGCATACAAATGGCATGATTCCTCATCCTCTCCATCAAATGAAAAAGTCTTAGTGAGTTCGTGCTTCCCTCTCTCTCCCCTTCAAATTTAAAGAAAAAGCGTAAGGTCCAAGTAACCGGGGATTCGGTGGCAAACACCATCAATACTCGCGTCTATGGAAGGCCTATGAATCCAAGCAACCGGGGATTCGGTGGCAAACACCATCAATACTCGCGTCTGTGGAAGATCCAAGCAAAACCTCTATAATAAAGAGAAGGAGTTGAATAAAAAAATACTTCGCTACCCTAAAAAAGGGATGAGTCAACTCAAAGAAGTGAGAAGAGAGAGAGGAGAAACATGGAGTAAAAAGACAAGTGCCAAAACAAGGGGATGAGTAAGAGTCTAAAGCCGGCTGATCGATACTCCCTAGTTGAGACCACACCTTTAGAAATGAAAGGAGTCAAGGAGGGTGAATTGGATTGTCCAAAGAGAGGTGGGCCGCCTTGGAAAAATCGCAAAACTCATGGTATGTACTCTTGTTCTTAATTCAAATATTTGCCTTTACTACTTTCATGTGGATTACTAAAACCAAGCCAACCCGGATTTCCTAATGATTTGAGAGTTCTTGCGTTTTCAAACCTCTCTTCCTCTCTTAGTTTGCTTGGGGACAAGCAAAAGGCTAAGTCTGGGGGAGTTGATATACCCATATCTTTCATGTTTTTATCAAGGTTTTCACTATGTTTTTAATACAAATAATGTGGTTTTTAGCCCAAGAGGTAGTTTTCTTGTATATTCTGGTTTTGAGCATCATTCAGGTCAAAATAGCAAAGAAGAGTCAAAAATGGAGCAAAAAGAGTCAAATCACCAAGTTCCCAAGTCTAGAGCACCAAATCTACATTTCTCGCTAAAGACCAAACCGGAGCATCCGAAGTACGACCGCATATTCATGCCTTCCCGACGTCCAAAAGTCATGATTCTTATATGGAAAGATAGATATTTGAGTCATGACCCGCGGCGAAGTGGAAAGAGGTCATTTGGATCACTCGTTGGACCGGAACTTATTTTCTACCAAGACATGTCCGACGAGCGCCTAAGTAGAGCCCATGGAGACTTTGATGGATCAAGAGGCCCGAGATACCGCGCCCAAGGCCTTGGCTCATCTTGACACTAGCATAACTCAATCCAGAAGCTTCCATTGGCCTGAACGCGGCCCATTCAAGAACTTGGAGAGCAAGCTCAAGCGGCTAAAGAGAAATGGAAACTTTCCTCTTCTGCGCGCGCTCAACTTTGCCGACCTAGACCCGCTCTCTACCTATATATACTTGCTTTTAGCCTCTTGTAATAAGAATCACCAGCCGCATAACAAGAAACACTTATTCAATAAAGTTCGGAGCCACTTAGGTGGTCTCCTTCTTCTTTCTTTTCTTCTTTTGCATTTGTATATAGCTTGCATGTTTCAATTTATATAGTCTAGAAGTAGAGATTTCTCCCTAAGGGTGAGGCGTGGTTTAGTCATATTCCGCCGCCTCTCTCTCTAAGGATTCATGAGACTTCATCTACTATCTAAGACTCATTGTTGAATTATGGATCCTTCCAATGAGGACGTGATATAATGGCCATCGAAAATCGATTGTTAAAAGGGGAAACCCTATGGTTCTCCATCTTTATTTATGCTTAATGCTTGTTGCTAGAGTAGCTAACTAGTGACTTGATTTTAGGTTGATATACTCTCCAAAAGCTTGTTATATCTCCGGACACAATATTTGATGGGCAAATCGTTTTAGGCTACGAAAGTAGACCTAAAGAGTTTTGTGAACAATCATTACTTGGATGTAATGCATGTCTCACTCTACAATGACCAACGAAAGCTGAGCCCATTGGTTTAAGAGACATAGGGGATTGGAACCACGAAAGTGGAATAATCCTTCCTTAGTGTTTTGAGTTCAAAAGAATCGGATTTTAACAAACTTTTCAATCGACTTGGCTCATGTTTTCAAAAGAGTTTTCAATAGTTCAATAATGTTGCTTGTATAGAATTGCATTGTTATTTCTTTTGCGTGTTCTAAACAAACACAAACCCTTGCATCTTTTGATTTAGCTTAGTCATTTAAACTCTATGATTATGTAATGTGTGAAATCCAATCCCTTGTGGTTCGACCCCTAAATACTACAATTATATGTTGTGCACTTGCAACACTAGTTGTCTTAGGGAATTATTACTTGTACTCATCCCATAAGATGCAGCGATATCAGCCTTACACCACCGAGCGAGCTGCGCCTACCACCGTCCCTACTTACACGCAGGAGAGCATGCAGGAGGATCTCGACGACTTCATCTACGGACGCCGCTGATGCTCTCTCCTGACGCCACTCGACCGACCACCACCACTGTATCATTCCATTTTCCCTTTTCTTTTTCTTTTATTGAGTCTGTTTAACTCTCTCCTTTGTTTCTTTTCACACCGGGTCGGTGTGAAGTAAGTCCGGGGGAGGGTCTTTGTGTTTACTAACGTCTTTTTCTTTCTTTTGTTTTCTGTTTCACCTTGAGTCATTTTGATGTTTTCTTTGAGTCAGGTTTTATTGAGTCAAAAACTTGTTGGGAATAAACTTATTGATGCAACCACTTGATCTTGAATTCTTTCTATCTAGTGACCAATTTTGCAGGGTTTGTTATGTGTAAAAAGCTGGATTACCCTTTTGGTCAGACTTCCCCCAGGAATTTTCGTTTTGCAGAGATTTTGGTGAAACATTTGGTTGACTCTAATGCTATTGGACCACTAATCTGACATCAATTACCTCTCATTCGGAATGTCATAGCAGGGAAACGGACCATACACTCAGGACTTCTTATTCATTTTACCACTCTCTGTTGATCCTGAGTGGCCAGCCCATTTTTGGTTGGTACCCCACCTTGAGCCTTACCTTCTTTCTGACTTCATGCACTCTGTTCTTATGTCATATATGCAGATATGTGCAAAAACGTCGGAGAGAAAGGTTCGACACAGCTTCCCAACCACATTCAAGACGAGTGTTCATCTACAACACTGAGAATGGGAAGTGATGGTGGAGTATGGAGCCTGAATCGATCGAACTGATGGTCGTTCCTTGGAGAAGCACGAATACACGGTAACATTTACGAGCCATTGACACTAGTTCCCCTCAAAAAAAAAAAAAAATCAGAAAAACTTGAGGAAAGGAACTAGTGGTTCAATAAAATGTCAAGCTCGACCGAATCCTCCAAGGAACACCACCGATCAAGGCGAATTGGGAGTTAGAGCTGTTCTGGATAAAATCCAACATACAAGGAGTTGAAGAGTGAAGTGGTTGGGAAATGTGGCTATCAACAGAACCATTCTCTCTTGCTGTTTTGCGCGATATCATGCATCCTCCGGCGTATCTGGTAACCCTTAAACACTTTAACCTCACCAAAAACAGGCCTTTTGATACCCAACACCGTCGACCCTGTATGATGTTCTTGATGAGAGGTCCACGCCAAATCTTAATGAATGTAGAGAGTTAACCAATGTGTAGCTTGAGTTTCTGCAGGATGGAGGTTCATCACGGGATCAGGAATGCGAGACTTCAAGGGGACTACAGTGATTATGCACTGACCGAACCTTGTCCTTTGAGGTCTACTGATGATCCTTCGGGGTATGGTTGCTGATGATTTGTGAGTTCCCGCGTTTTCAAACTTCTTCCCTATTCTTGGAATTTATGTTTGCTTGAGGGCAAGCAAAAGACCAAGTCCGGGGGAGTTGATATCTTGCGTATTTGACGCATTCTAACCCTTGTTTTCACGAGTTTTATCGAGTCTTTCTAGTCTTTATCGAGTCTTTTCAGGTCTAAAGACGTTCCAGGGAGAGCTTTGGTCACATGGACCAACAACAGGCGAAAGCAGGCAAAACGGGCGAGAAGGAGCTCGATCGAACCACTACGAGCTCGATCGACCCTGTACAACACCAGCTCGATCGACCTTATGAGACGAGCTGAGTCGATCGAACCACATCACTCCGTACCGAAGCTCGATCGACCCCATCACGTGTACCAGCTCGATCGATCTGTTCAGAACACTCGATCGATCCCATGCGCGCCATGCATCATCGATCTCAGCCGTCGATCATCGCATCGATGATCACAGCCGTTCGATCGAACCCGCGAACCGGATTGAACCGAAGTCGACCCCGGAGCTATTTAGACCTATCTTTAGCCATTGTTTAGGCTACGCCGTTTTTCAGAGTTTACACTGTTTTCATTGTTTCTGAGGGAGAAGAGATCGAACCTTTTTCACAGTTTGGAGAAGATTTCTGAACCCTTGTTTTTGCTATTTTCGTATTTTGATTCAATGACATTCAGTTTCAGTATTGTTTGCTGTTTCACCATGTCTGAGTAGTCACCCTGCTAGATCTAGGTTTTTCAAAGGGATTCATGTGTTAACTTGACTGAATACAGATAGGGCTTTAATACTGTCTTCGCCATTGTTGCATTCACTGCTTAGATCGATCTGATCACTCGATCTCTGATCTCAGATTACCTGTTCATCAAAAGTGCAATAGGTTGTTAGAACGAACTGTGGTGAGCGAATCGTCCTTAGCCTGCGAAAGTTGATGCTAAGGCGATTCGTGAACTTATCGAACCTGTGCGCATTGCTTGTCATCAATTGCTAGATTCAAACGACAGTTTAGACATCTAGGTTGTTAGACAAAGTTGTCATTATCGCGACAGTGAATTGACTTATTGTTTTGTTTGAGTTCGAGACCTGTTCTTTATCTGTGCCCTGAATAGTTGTTTGGTCGTTAACCGTGAATCTCTGCGAATTGCCTTGGTCTAGTCCTGTTTATTGAATTACATCAACGTTTACATTCGTTACCTGTTACCTAAAACCAATCATCTTTGTCTTAGCTCTGTTTTAAATCTCCTAGTTTCACAGTGTAACGCTGGTCCTCTGGATTTCGAATCCTTTATATTACAATTTCATCACTGTTAATTTGCAGTAGAGAAAAGGACCTATTTCTATTTTATCAAAGAGCCTTTAAATACAAGAGAGATTAGGTTTAGGGTCAAAGGGGAGTCAAAGGGAAGCAGCATTTTTCGGGTTTGACCATTGACTCCTCAGCTCGATCGAGTTGGAACTTGGCCGGTCGAGTTGAGGAACTGGACCGGTTGGTCAAGTAGATGGTCGAGCTGACTTCAAGATGGCTTCCTCCTTCGTCCTAAGCATGTGCGGTTTAGCTGAATCCATGCACCAAAGTGCTCCAAAAAGACCTATTCAAGGATCAAACATGCACATGTATGCAAATGCAACCTAAAACTACTATGAATGCATAAGAAGGGAAAAGGAACAAGATATGATGCTAATGGAGTCTAAAACTAAGCAAAAGATGCATAAAAGATGTACTAAAACTATGCAAAATGCAAGTACATCACGCTTCAATTGACTTCACAAGCAAGAGGTGATTCTCCACAAGGTGAATAGTTTGGTCTCATAACACTTGCAGCCTAGAGGTTATGAGTATTGTGGCACAATTAAAAGTACACCAGTGAGTTCCAAGAGTCAAGAAGATACAAGAGTTGTGAGTAGAAGATTGACAAGGAACCAAGAGTTGAGAGGGAACCAAGTGTTGAGAAAGGATCAAGACTTGAGAAACCAAGACCTGATAGGCCAAGAGCTTATCGCCTTGTTCATGCGCCTTGTGTACTTGATGAAGAGAGCCTTCAAGCTTTGTTTGATGAGCCACTAGGAAGGGCTCAAAAGGAAGGGGAGGATGCAGCCTCTAAGGCACGACCAGGTGACAAGAGAAAAGATCCACCAGCTCATGCCTCTTCAAACAATCCATCTCAACTCACATCTCAGCTTACTATAACCTTGTTTTCCACCAAGTTTGAAGATGGGAAGATTGAGTACATAATAAGGTACAACAGAAGATCAAGACCATTCTATAGAGCTAGAGCCTTGATCACCTCTGAGCAGTCCAGGGACCCAACCAAGATGAAAGAACTACTCTAATCAGTCCTCACTATCACCCTTGATGGTGAGACTAGCTCAACCAATGCCTAAAAGGTAAAGGCCAAGCTATGGGACCTTAAACAAACTCACTTGGGAGGAAGTCCCATGCATATCCTTGTATATACTCTTTATTTCAATTTCTATCTAGTATTGCGTATCTTAACCCTTGCAGGAAGTTAAGTTTAGGTGAAAAGAAGTCAGCTCGATCGAGTGAGAACTAAAGGTAACTCGATCGAGGAAGGTAAATTTTTTTTTCAATTTCAAATTTTTACCGTTTCCCTTGGTCAAGGGAGTGGGTGCCACATACGTAATTTTGGTCCCCCACTTCCCTTAAATCGATCAGAGAGACCCTATGCTTTTGTCCCCTTTTTAAACCCTCTTTTAATCCTCACCACACATCTCACACTCGCTCTTTTACCTACAACTCGATCCACGCCCCCCCCCCCTCTCACTTTCTCCCACACTCAAAAACCTGAAAATCACTTGTCTCTCTCATCTCTCTCCCTTCTAAGAAAACCAGATATTTTTCTTCCTCCCTCACATCTCACACTCTCTCTTTTGCGATTTCTCCTTGCTTCTTCTCTTTTACTGCATAGTTTCTAGCTCTTGTTCTAGAGCAGCCATAATCCAAGCAAGGTTTGATCTCTAAGCCCCCTGAATCTATAGTTTTGATCCTCCTTTATCTCTCATTGTGAATCGCCTCTTTTAAATTTTGATTGCATGTGTCTCTTGTGAGCTTGTTCTTGAGTTATTGCATTCATAAACCTCTTATGTTTAGAGAAATTCGGGCTTTGAGTATGATCCAGTGCCTCACTAGGACTTCTATCAGACCAAATGGACTGCATACAACCAGTTTGAGCGAGCCAGATTCCACCAAGGCCAAGGGAGCCACACTCGCTTTGAAGATGATGAGGAGGAGCCACAAGCTCGATCGAGCTGCAGTGATATTGTCGAATGGGCTGCTCCTGATGGTCGTCTGCCCTCTCCGTCCAATGACCCTGCTTCCCAGTTCTTTGGGGAACACTAAGGTATCAAACAAACTCCCATTGTACATACCATTTCATTTTTATGCATTTCTCTTTGTTTTTCTGGTTTTGGCCTCTTGAATCTTTCATTGAACTTCTTTCACACAAGGGACTGTGTGATTTAAGTTTAGGGGAGGGTTCAAGAGATGATTTAACCTTGTTTATTCTGTTCTTAGTTTTTCTTTCATCTATTTGCATAGAAAAACACAAAAAATCATAAAATTTTCAAAAATCCAAAAATATTTTCATCTTTTTGCATTCTTACTTGTTAGAATTGTTTAGGATTGCATCATTCACCTCTGTTTTTATTGTGCATTGTTGATTTGATCTTGTGGACTTGTTCATCATTTGCGATTTGTTAAGTGCCCTTTTTCTAGATTCTTTTGTGCATTAATGTGAGATTGATTGAACAACAAGGAACCATGCTTAACTTGATCATATCACTGCATGCACATCTCATTTAACCTCTGCTGTGATTTGATGCATTTCCCTATCTATTTGAACCATAAACTTGATCTTTACTTACCAATTGTTGCATTTGATTTCAACTCATGGCTACCACATACATATCTGGACATTATTTGCCTATTACCTATCCCTCTTGCTTGTCCAGATAGTTGATCTCCATCTTTAAGACACTTACCACACCCTACACCTAAGCCTTTTTCATTCCAACCCCCATATTATCTCTTGTGCGAATTGTGAGACATTTTCTTGGCTATGCTTAGTATAAGGTGTTGTGTTTAAACCGGCAGGAGCAGTAATTTCTAGTTATCTAGTTCTCTTTGGGTTGTTTTCAGGCTAAGTTTGGGGGTGTCCTTTTGGACTCGAGCGAGTTGAGTGTGAAAACCAGAAAAGTGGTAAAAGTTGGGGAAAACAAAAGAAAAAGAGTTTGGTTAAGTCCAGGGAGGTGGTCAGTGTTTAAAAGGGTCTAGTAAGGGTTTGGGAAGTATAAAAAAGAAAGAAAAAAGGGTTCTAACTAGTAAAGAAAAGAAGGCAAACCCTCAAGTGTTCAAAAGAAAAGAAAAAGTTCCCTAAGTGTTTAGAAAATCCCAAACCGCTAGATGTTACCTTAAGAAGCCTCTCCATGTTGTTTAGTAAAGGTTTGGGAAGTATAAAAAAGAAAGAAAAAGGGTTCTAACTAGTAAAGAAAAGAAGGCAAAGCCTCAAGTGTTCAAAAGAAAAGAAAAAGTTCCCTAAGTGTTTAGAAAATCCCAAACCGCTAGATGTTACCTTAATGAAAAGTGAGCACAGCTCCTCTGTTTCAAAGGCAAAATGCCAAAAGGGTAGTTAGAATTGGTTCTTTAAGCTCTGGGTTTCAGACTCGATCGAGTCAGGATTAGGTAGCCCGAGTTGCTGCACTTGCATCATCTTTGGTTCTAACCCTTAGCCTTATGCCAAAGCATAGCCACTTTCTTGAGAGATTCCCGTCTCTAAACCACCAAACACTCAAAAGAGACCCTCTTTGTCTCTTAAACCATAAACCCTTAAACCAAATGAGTCGATTGATCTTGCATGTTTTTGGTTCACTGTCTTACTTAATGAATGTAAAAGGGATTTGCTGATTTGAATGCATTGTTTGAGTGACTGTGAAGTGGGATTTATCTTGTTAACTATTCTTAATGAATATCTCTCACCTTGTTGCATTCTAAAATCTCTAAGATGGACATTTAGCAAATCGATTTTGAGTGCATGTTTTTTAAGGTTGAATCAACTTGTTTTCAAACCTCATCTCTTTCTTGTCCTATGTGTTTGCTTGAGGGCAAGCAAAGGATAAGTTTGGGGGTGTTGATGTACTTGCATTTTGCATAGTTTTAGTACATCTTTTATGCATCTTTTGCATAGTTTAGAATCCATTACCATCATATCTTGTTCCTTTTTCCTTCTTATGCATTCATTGTATTTTTAGGTTGCATTTGCATACATCTGCATGTTTGATCCCTAAACAGGTCTTATTGGAGCACTATGGAGCAATTGGGACGTGAGGAGCAAGGAAGGACATGGTGCATGGACTCAGCTTGACTGCGCATGCTTGGAATGAAGAAGGAAGCCGCCTTTGAAGCCAGCTCGACCCATCCACTCGACCAACCGGTCGAGTTCGTCTACTCGACCGGACAAGAACAACTCGATCGAGCTGCGGAGTCAACTCGACTTCCCTTTGATGGTCTTAATCTAAAAATCTCTCTCTTTTGGACAAAACCTAAGGCAACACAACCACTATCCATGGTGTGATTGATCATAAGCGATTCTCCTCATGGGAATGTTGGGAAATCGCTTGAAAAGGTCCACTAAGATCTCCAATATGCTTGCTCTCGAAATGCAGTTTATAGGTGTTGGATGGGTTAGTTTGAGCAATGATCTTACTGCCTCTAAGGCTTGATTCTCACTGGCTGACTGATGATAGGATTTGTGTGTGGGAGATGTGAAATGATATGAATGATATGAGGTGGAATGCAAACAGGGGTGAATAAAAGATGAGATTGTATGGTGCAATCACAATCAATCAATTCCTCTTAACCATCATAGTCGATGTAGTATAAGAGGTTATCAATCCAAAAGGGTGAGATGTTGCTCTTTGAATCTATGCAAACACAAGAAAGTCAATCAGTACAATAAAGGGCGATGTAACAACTAAACAACCTACTGGAATGAAATGCAATGCAGAAAGTAAAAGAAAGCAGTAATGAAAGCAGTAAAGGAAGCTGCTCGACCGAGGGCTCGATCGAGTAGAACAGAGTAACTGGGCTCGATCGAGTTAAGGGTCGAGTTGACGTAAAAACAGAGTAAAAGCGATTAAGGTAAGAACTTTATGAAGCTAATGCGAATGTTAGGGTCTAAGACGGGGTCATACAACTAGGGGAAGACTATACTTAATCAATCTTGCTATTAAACAACTTGCATCAGGCTATCTCTTGGCATTGAGCTTCTCAAGCCTAGCTAGCCCTTTCCCAAGGTAAAAGCTATATCCAAGGCAAGATCTCAGAAACAGGGGGTCAGCCATTGAGAATCAAGCCTTGGAGGCAGTAGGATCATTGCTCAACCTAACCCATCCAACACCTATGAACTCCATTTCGAGAGCAAGGTTTATTGGAGCTCTTAGTGGACTTGATCAAGCGATTTCCACTCATTCTGAAACAACCAACATTTTTTTTAAATAAATAAATAAATACTAATCAATTCAAGCGAAGGTCATAAATTAAATAGATAAATATCAAATGACAATAATAAATCAGTTCAGTGGAAGCAAATAATAATTAGACAAGTCTAGCAAAACAATGCAAAATAAATAAAAACAATAAATATCCTATCATCCCCCTCTTCAGCCTTGATTCCGCAATCACACAAATCTTTTACCTCCAACACTTTGGAATGGAGTTGCGTAAATATTTAATAAATACTTAGTGAGGCAATCACTCTGCCTACAGGACAATTACGCAATTTACTAGACATTTAAATAATTATTATAAACTCCAATAATTATTAGATTCCATTTTTCCAATTATTAAATAATTCTTAATAATTAAAACTCAATTTCTCAATTATTAAATAATTATCATAATTAGATAATAATTTTCCATATTTTAATATAATTAAAATCATTATTTTAAACCATTTAATTAATTAAATACCAAATATTTAATTAAATACCACATTAAACCAAATCCAATTGAACTAAACCAGCCAATTTCAATTAAACCAATTAAATCGACTTTAACCAGAGTTAACCGGTTTGTGTCGACCGACACCAGCTTGGTGTCGACCGACACTGATTCTGGAAAAACCCAGATCGGGCTATGAACAGTACCCGAAACTTGCAATTCACAGGAAATCAATCAAACAACCACAAACACTGAATCAAACATCAATATCATCACAAAATCACCATAGAAACATATACAGATCCTAAATCTAGCAATCACGGACCCACAGTCATGCACTCAACTCAGATTTTTGGATTAAAAAAAGAGGAAAACGAAGGGAGATGAAGAAGCACAACAAAGTCGACAAAGAACACCGCCGAAACCACCACGCAGCAGCCGCCACACAAACCCAAGCCTCCAATAGACGATGAACGGCCTTGGATTGAGCTCATAACACCGAAATCGCCTCCAGTTCTCTTCTCCTTCACGTTTTGCTCACTAAACGACAAAAACAGAGGAGAAGGAAGACGGCTGCGCAGGTTTTAACACTAGGAATAGGGTTTCCAGCCCAAACCAGCCTAAACCGGAAATCGATTTCATTTAAATCGAACCGGAATTGCGAACCAGAGCTGGTGTCGACCGACACAAACCTGTGGTGTCGTTCAACACTCGATCAAAACGGCACTTTTTTGGTTTACGAATGTTACAACTCTCGCCCACTAAACTGGATTTGTCCTCGAATCTCAAGTCCAAACGTCAAAAAGACCACAAAAACCCGACCTCGCAAGGCCGCAACACTGGAGATCCTCACCTGATCCCCGAGACTCTCATCTAATCTTGTGTTATACGCCCGTCTCTAGAGATCTTACTCTTAACTCATCACCTCAAACCACTTGTACTGGGGCCACTACACCCAGGGGCTTGGCAACCGCTGCTTATACTGGGGCCACTACACCCAAATAAGTCAGCCATGACTTATACTGAGGCCACTACACTCAGTTAAGTCACTCATACTGAGGCCACTACACTCAGATGAGTCTGCCGGAGAACCACTGTCTCCAAAACCGTAATGAGTTATTCAGGATCGCAATCCTTAGAGTAAAAATTCCAAGACGTCTATAACAATAGGATTAGAACTGTCTCACGACCAACTGGACAAACACTTGTAACATCCGAAATACCATTAAACAACACAGGACAAAAATGAGGAACAACTGCATCTCATTAAAACTCCAAAATGTATATCGTTAACACCAAACGAAAATACAAGTACAAAGCTCAAAAGCTAAAGACATTTCCTCAGCATCGACACATGAAACACCTTGTGAAAGGCTCTCATAATCTCAGGCAACTCCAGCCTGTAAGCCAATGGCCCAACTCGCTCCACTACTGGAAACGGACCCATAAAACGCGGACTCAGCTTGTTCTCTGCTATGGATCTGTTAGGACCCCTCAACATAGCCATCTTGAGATAAACTCTATCTCCAACCTGAAACTCAAGCTCTCGTCTGCGTCTATCTGCATAACTCTTCTGCCTATCCTGAGCCTCCTTCATGTTCAGCCTCACAACACGAACCTTCTCTGTCGTCTCCTGAACATAAGTAGCTCCATACATGCTGCGCTCCCCCACTTGGGTCCAGCATAGGGGTGTCCTACATGGCCTCCCATACAAAGCCTCAAATGGAGCCATGCCAATACTCGCCTGAAAGCTGTTGTTGTATGCAAACTCAACTAAGCTCAGGTGATCTGCCCAATGGCCACCCCAATCCAACACACACATCCTCAGCAAATCCTCCAAGGTCTGAATAGTCCTCTCTGACTGACCATCTGTGTGCGGATGATAAGCTGTACTCAGATGCACCTTAGTGCCCATCTCTGCCTGAAACGCCCTCCAAAACTCTGAAGTGAATCTGGGATCACGGTCTGACACAAGAGAAAATATGTTTAGGGTCAAAGGGGAGTCAAAGGGGAAGCAACAATTCTCGGGTTTGAGCCTCAGATCCTCACCTTTTTGGTTTACGGATGTTACACATTCGCATGAGGAAAATCGCCTAAACTCATACACACCATGGTCAGTGGTTATGTAGCCTTAAGCTTAGTCCAAAAGAGAGAGATTTCTAGACTAAGACCACAAGCAATAAAGATTAAGCATAAGGATCCTCTAATCTAGCCCATCTTAAACCCTAAATGGAACTACTCACTACACATGAAGGAATACACAATCAAATGAAATGAAATCGACATGGAAAGATAGAGGAGATGAAACTAAAGAACTTTTATTGAAATAAGCAAGTGCAAATACAAAGGGAAATAGCATAGATCTAAGGTTCAAGGAGCATGAAGCTCAAGAACACAAAGAGAGGCTTAAGAGTTGCAAAAAGTAAATTACAAGATTAAAGAAAAGCTAAAATAAAAATAAGCTAAAGATTGTTGTCTTTTTCGTGCCTTAAGGTAACATCTAGGGGTTTGGGATTTTCTAAACACTTAGGGAACTTTTTCTTTTCTTTTGAACACTTGAGGCTTTGCCTTCTTTTCTTTACTAGTTAGAACCCTTTTTTCTTTCTTTTTTATACTTCCCAAACCTTTACTAAACAACATGGAGAGGCTTCTTAAGGTAACATCTAGCGGTTTGGGATTTTCTAAACACTTAGGGAACTTTTTATTTTCTTTTCAACACTTGAGGCTTTGCCTTCTTTTCTTTACTAGTTAGAACCCTTTTTTCTTTCTTTTTTATACTTCCCAAACCTTTACTAGACCCTTTTAAACACTGACCACCTCCCTGGACTTAACGAAACTCTTTTTCTTTTGTTTTCCCCAACTTTTACCACTTTTCTGGTTTTCACACTCAACTCGCTCGAGTCCAAAAGGACACCCCCAAACTTAGCCTGAAAACAACCCAAAGAGAACTAGATAACTAGAAATTACTGCTCCTGCCGGTTTAAACACAACACCTTGTACTAAGCATAGCCAAGAAAATGTCTCACAATTCGCACAAGAGATAATATGGGGGTTGGTATGAAAAAGGCTTAGGTGTAGGGTGTGGTAAGTGTCTCAAAGATGGAGATCAGCTATCTGGACAAGCAAGAGGGATAAGAAATAGGCAAAGAATGTCCAGATATGTATGTGGTAGCCATGAGTTGAAATCAAATGCAAGCATTGGTAAATAAAGATCAAGTTTATGGTTCAAATAGATAGGGAAATGCATCAAATCACAGCAGAGGTTAAGTGAGATGTGCATGCAGTGATATGATCAAGTTAAACATAGTTCCTTGCTGTTCAATCAATCTCACCCTAATGCACAAAAGAATCTAGAAATAGGGCACTTAACAAATCACAAAAGAAAAGCAAGTTCACAAGGTTTAATCAACAATGCACAACAAAACAGAGGTGATTGATGCAATCCTAAACAAATCTAGCAAACATGAATGCAAAAAGATGAAAATAGCAAACAAATTTTATGTTTTTTTTTGTGTTTTTCTACGCAAATGGATGAATGAAAAACTAAGAACAGAATAAACAAGGTTATATCATCTCTTGAACCCTCCCCCAAACTTAAATCACACAGTCCCTTGTGTGAAAGAAGCTCAAAGAAATATTCAAGAGGGAAAAACAAAAAAAAATGCAATCTTTGTTTTCTTGAAGCTCTTGCTTCTTGAATCTTAGATCCTGGATTATTTGCTTTTTATTTGCACTTGCTTATTTCAATAAAAGTTGTTTAATTTCATCTCCTCTTTCTTATGATGTCTCTTTTATTGCATTTGCTTGTGTTTACATTCATGTGTAGTGAGTAGTTTCCCATTAGGGGCTGAGATGGGATAGATTAGAGGATCTTTATGCTTAATCCTTCTTGCTTATGCGCTTAATACCATAGATCTCTCTCTTTTGGATAAGTCTTAATGCTACATGACCACTACCCCTGGCTTGTATGCCATTAGGCGATTCTCCACACGAAAGTGAATATGTACAAGTTCACTTGGGAGGAAGTCCCATGTCTATTCTTGTACGTATTCTATTTATGAAATTTCTATCTATTTTCGTGTCTTTAACCCTTCAATAAGCTAAGTTTAGGTGACAAGGGAACCAGCTCGACCGATAGCTCGATCGAGCTAGAAACCAGGGTAACTCGATCGAGTTCCACAACTCGACCGAGGTAAGTTTTCAAAAATTCAAATTTCTAACCGTTTTCCTCGGTCAAGGGAGTGGGTCCCACAAGTTAATTTTGGCCCCCCCACTTTCTGAATTTGATCAGAAAAACCCTAGCTTCTTGTCCCCTCTTTATTTCACCTTTTGATCTCAACCACACATCTCAAACAACCCCTTTCCCCATAACTCGATCGAACCCATCTCTCTCTCCCACACTCATATTTTTCTGCAACTCATCTATCTCTCTCTCTCATCACTACAAGAAATCCGAATTTCAAGCTTTCTCTCTCAAGTTTTTGCGATTTCTATTGTTGCTCTTCTTGTTTTGCTTAGTTCTAGCTACTGTGATTCTTCAATCATCATTCAAGCAAGGTATAAACCCTAACCCTCTGAATCCTTCATCTCGTTTCCTCTCTATTGCTAGTTTCCTCTTGCTTTTTGATTGCATGAGTCCCTTGAGGACTTGTCCTTGAGTAATTGCTTTCTTTTATGCTTCAAATTTGTATAATCTTGTGAATTTGCCTCACCTCACCTCTGTTTTATCATAAGAACTTGTTGCATGTGCTTGAAAAATTGAATTTGAAGTTTGGTATTGGTTAAGATGCTTGGGTTTTCACTAAAATTGCTCATTGTTCCATTTACTAGTTGTTCTTTGTTCAATTTGGTTGTTAAGCATCTTTTCCAGCTCTTATTGTTTGATTTAGGTTCGGTTACACTCTGTTTTCACTTGACTCGATCGAGTTTGTCACTCGAGTTTTTTGACTCGATCGAGTTGAGTGTCGAGTTGGCCGAACCAACGATTGCAACTCTAATTCCTTGAGTTTTTGATCAATTTAAGGAACCCAACTTCAAGAAGCAACAACTTCAAGATGTTGAGAGGTGAAGGAAGCCAAGCGGCTGTAGCAAGAAAGCAAAAGGCAGAGAAAGCAAGGAGAATGAGAGAAAGGATGTCCATAGATGAAGATTTGGAGTATGTTAGATCGAGGGAAGAGAGGAATCAGCAGATGAAAGAATCTGAGGCAGGGGATCATGTCTCCTCTGAAGAGCAGTCTGAAAGTGAGAGGTTGAGGGAGGAAAGGAGACCAAGAAGAGGAATGATCCCATAAGTAGCGAAAGTGAACAAGGGGATTTTGAGATTGGGGTTAACCTTGTTCAAGAGGGGAGTTATGGCTCTCCAATTCAAGGAGGAAGTGATGAGAATGAGAGTGAAGAGGAAGGAGAGGAGGTGAACCGATTGGTTGATGAGAGTGATCAAAAGGGTAACCAAGATGAGCCCATGGAGGAGGCTGAGCAACAAGAGGAGGAAGAAGAACTCCCTATGTACCAAGAGCATTATGATGCTCTCTTCTCCATGGACTTTGTGGAGACCAAGTACCCACATGATGACACAATGAGGGCTCTTGGGATCTTTGATGATGTGGAGCTGGTCCTCAAGAACATGCGCTTGGCCAAGTTCTTCTCTTACCGCTTGGAGTCATACAAGGAGCTTACTTGTGAGTTCTTGGCATCAATGAGGTTCCACGAGTATGAGCAGCTCGATCGAGCTGAGTTGGATCAAGGTTGGGGATGGATCACGTTCTTGGCAAGGGGAGAAAGGAAGGCAATTACCTTCAGGCAATTGGAGATCCTGTTCGGTTTCACTTATGGAGAGGGAACCCATTGGGATATCAAGGAGGATGAGCTACAAAGGGTTTGGGCTACAATCGCTGATGGAGTATACTCTTCCTCACGGTCTAAGGCAGCTCAAATCAGGAGCCCAGTGCTGAGATATGTGCACAAGGCTCTCGCCAACACCTTCTTTGCAAGGAAAGCGACTGGGACAATAAATGAAGGAGAGGTGAAGCTCCTTGACATGGGAATCAAGCCCATCATCTCACGCACCAAGGATGGGAAGAAAATCAGGGGAGATAGAATCCATGCAGGGAATCTCATGCCTCTCATTGACCAGCTACTCTCCTACAAGACACCGCCTATAGCACTCGATTTCAAACGGGAAGGAAGCTTAGTGTTGGAGGAGTCATCACGCCTATCCTCTGTGCAGCTGGAGTCCATTTGGACAAGAGAAGGTCTACTCCAGCAGGATGGATGGATATTAAGTTTTGCAAGACCAACCTCTTCATTGAACACAAGGAGTTGGATGGGAGGTTCCAATTCAAATTCACTCATCCTTTGGCTGGCCCCTCCAAGCTTCTTCTGCCCAACCCTGAGCTCACCACAGTTCTAGGAGGTACAAACATTGACTTCAGCCCCCCACTTTACACATTAGTTGGGCATGAAGGGATTTGCGAGAAGAGGAGCCTGAACTCGATCGAGCTGAGGATCGAGTTGAGGACAACGCTCATGTGAATGCGGATTTGGGCGAGCCTGAGTGCTACTATTTTGAGGAGTATGAGGCTCCAAGGATGAACCCCTCTGTTGTGGCTGCCCACAAGAGGATTGGACTTCTCCAAAGGTTCAACAAGTGGCAAGGGAAAGCCATGGAAAAGATGCAAAAGTCCATGGACAAGATGGTGAGCAAGATCAAAAGCTTGGAGAAGAAAGTTTCTGGTTCTTCAAGCAAGAAGAAGAATACCCATGGCCCCACTTTCCTAGGAGTAGATCTCTCCTCACCACTCAAAGGAGGCTCTCCACCAAGAACCTCACAGAGCCTCTTCATTTGAGCCAAGGGAAGGGGAAGACAACTCACAGAGAAGGAGGAAGAGCTCTAAGGTCAGACGCTCCAACTCGACCACCGGACTTGATCGAGTCCAAACAGAGGAAACTCAACTCGATCGAGCTGAGGGTCGAGTTGACCTGGAGGAGCCCCTGTTTGAGAACCCCGGATTCGAGTACGACCCCACGCCCTACCAAGACTTCTCCCAGACCAACTGGACCCCCTACAACCGTTTCGAGCAAGCGCAGCTCCCAAGGCCAAGGAAGCCACACCCACTTTGAAGATGAAGAAGAAGAAGAGGAGGAGCCGCAAGCTCGACCGAGTGAGGCGACCCAGTCGAGTGGAGTGCTCCTGATGGCCGTCTACCATCTCCAGACCACGACCTAGCCTCCCAGTTCTTTGGGGGGCTGATAATAGGATTTGTGTGGATGTGAAAAGATATGAAATGAGATGAGTGGAATGCAATCAGTGGTATATGATGAGGTGGTAAGATGCAAACACAAACACAGTCAACAATTCCCTTTAACCATGATAGTGATGTAGTACAAAGGGTTATCAATCCAAAATGGGAAACTTGTCACTCTATGAGAATATGAAACAACCAGGAAGTCAAGCAAGCAGTAATAGATTTGAAGTAACACTAACAACCTAAATGAAAAGAAATGCAATGCAAAAGTAAACAAAGCAGTAAGCAGCTCGACCAAGACTCGAGTCGAGTAGGAACAGAGTACCAGCTCGATCGAGTTTAGGGTCGAGTTGAGAAAAAAGCTAAAGGTGACGACTTTAACAAGATAAGAGAGAATTAGGGTTCAAGACAGGGTTTTGCAATCAAAGGAATCTACACTTAATCAATCTAGCTCTTAAAACTCCTTGTATCAAGGCTTCTCTTGATATTGGGCTTCTCAATGCCTAGCCAACCCTTTCCCAAGGTGAGGCTATCAACCAAGGAATGATCTCAGAAACAGGGGGTTAGCCAGTGAGAATCAAACCTTGGAGGCTATAGGATCATTGCCCAAACTAATCCATCCAACCCCTTAGACCTCTATTGTCTAGAGCAAGAGATATTGGAGCTCTTAGTGGATCTTTTCCAGCGAATGCCATCACTTTCGTGTGGGGATCGCCTAAGGACTTACAAGCCAGGGGTAGTGGTCATGTAGCCTTAAGATCTATCCAAAAGAGAGAGAATCTAGATTAAGACCATAAGCTAGAAGGATTAAGCATATGAAACCTCTAATCTATCCCATCTCAAACCCTAATGGGTAACTACTCACTACACATGAATGTAAACACAAGCAAATGCAATAAAAGAGACATCATAAGAAAGAGGAGATGAAATTAAACAACTTTTATTGAAATAAGCAAGTGCAAATACAAAGAAGATTATCCAGGATCTAGGATTCAAGAAGCAAGAGCTTCAAGAACACAAAGATGGGATTAGAGTTCTAAAAAGTAAAAGACAATAAATTAAAAGAAACTAAAACAAAATAATCTAAAGCTTGGTGGTTTTTTCGTGGCTTAGAGCCTTTAAATACAAAGAGGATTAGGTTTAGGGTCAAAGGAAAGTCAAGGGGGAAGCAACATTTTTCGGGTTTGACTTTGACTTCTCAGCTCGATCGAGTTGAAGCTTGGCCGGTCGAGTTGAGGAACTCGACCGGTTGGTCGAGTAGACGGTCGAGCTGGTCTTCAAGATGGCTTCTCCCTTCTTCCTTTGCGTATCCAGTTGAGCTGCGTCCATGTGCCAAGTCCCTCCATGCTCCTCATGTCCCATATGCTCCAGAATGCTCCAAAAGACCTATTTCAAAGGACCAAACATGCATATGTATGCAAATGCAACCTAAAACTAACATGAATGCATAAGAAGAGAAAAGGAACAAGATATGATGCAAATGGAAGCTAAAACTATGCAAAAGATGCATAAAAGATGTGCTAAAACTATGTAAAATGCAAGTACATCAACACCCCCAAACTTGAACTTTGCTTGCCCTCAAGCAAACAAATAGAACAAGAAAGAGATGAGGTTTGAAAACAGCTGATTCAACACTTAAAAACATGTCCTCAAAAGCGATTTGCTAAATGTCCAACTTAGAGATTCTAGAATGCAACAAGGTGAGAGATATTCATTAAGATTTAACCATGCTTATCAACATCAATCCCACTTCACAGTCACTCAAACAATGCATTCAAATCAGCAAATCCCTTTAACATTCATTAAGCAAAAACAGTGAACCAAAAACATGCAAGATCAATCAACTCATTTGGTTTCAAGGGTTTATGGGTTAAGAGACAAAGAGGGTCTCTTTTGTATGGTGGTTTAGTAACAGGGATCTCTCAAGAAAGTGGCTTTGCTTTGGCAGAAGGCTAAGTGTTAGAACCAAAGATGATGCAAGAACAGCAGCTCGAGCCGCCTAATCCTAACTCGATCGAGTTCAACACTTAGAGCTTTTTAGAACAAAATCCTAACTACCCTTTTTGGCATTTCGCCTTTGAAACTGAGGAGCTTTGCTCACTTTTCTTTTAAGAACTTCCTAGGGAGAGGCTTCTTGAGGTAACATCTAGCGGTTTGGGATTTTCTAAACACTTAGGGAACTTTTCTTTCCTTTTTGACACTTGAGGCTTTGCCTTCTTTTCATTCTACTTAGAACCCTTTTTACTTCCTTTTTTAACTTCCCAAACCTTTACTAGACCCTTTTTAACACTGCCAACTCCCTGGACTTAACTAAACTCTTTTTCCTTTGGGTTTTTCCCAACTTTTACCACTTTTCTGGTTTTTACACCCAACTCGATCGAGCTCGAGTTGGCACCCCCAAACTTAGCCTGAAAACAATCCCAAGAGAACTAGACAACTAGAACTACTGCCCCTGCCGGTTTAAACACAACACCTTATGCTAAGCAAAGCCAAGAAAGGTTCTCACATTCGCACAAGAGATAATATGGGGTTTGAAATGAAAAGGCTTAGGTTTAAGGTGTGGTAACTGTCTCAAAGATAGAGATCAGCTATCTGGACAAGCAAAGGGATATGAAAAGTGTAAAGAATGTCCAGATATGTATGTGGTAGCCATGAGTTGAAATCAAATGCAAGCATTGGTAATTAAAGATCAAGTTATGGTTCAAATAGATAGGGAAATGCATCAAATCACAGCAATGGTTGAATGAGATGTGCATGCAGTGATATGATCAAGATAAACATGGTTCTTGCTGCTCAATCAATCTCACCCTAATGCACAAAAGAATCTAAAAACAGGGCACTCAAGAAATCGCAAAAGATGGACAAGTTTTCAAAGTCAAATCAACAATGCAAGTGAAAAATGCAATCCTAAACAAAACAAATATGAATGCAAAAAGATGAAAATATTTTTGGATTTTTTGAAAATTTTATGATTTTTTTGGTTTTTCTATGCAAAAGATAAATGAAAAACTAAGAACAAAGAAAACAAGGTTAAATCATCTCTTGAACCCTCCCCCAAACTTAAATCACACAGTCCCTTGTGTGAGAAAAATTTAGTGAAAGATTCAAGAGGGCAAAACCAAGAAAAAACAAGAACAAATGCAAGAAAATATGAAATGGTATATACAAGGGTTGGTGTTTGGATACCTCAGTGCCCCCCAAAGAACTGGGAGGCAAGGTCGTGGTCTGGAGATGGTAGACGGCCATCAGGAGCACTCCACTCGACTGGGTTCGGCTCACTCGATCGAGCTTGTGGTTGACTCGATCGAGTTGTGCCTCGAGTTAGCCACTCTTCTTCCTAAAACCTGCTCCTGTGAGACTTAGCCAAGAAAATCATAAAAATAAAAGGATAAAGCATAAATACATAAGATAGACATGGGAATTCCTCCCAAGTGAGCTTGTTTTAGGTCTCTTAGCTTGACCTTACCCCTTTTAGGCCGGGGTTGGATCTTCTAGAGGAGTGATGATCTCCTCTGTGGGGGTCATTCCTAGATATGGCTTGCATCTATGTCCATTCACTGTGAATTCCTTCCCCTCTTGATTGAGTAAAGTGAGGGACCCATAGGGTAAAACTTCGTGAATCTTGAATGGTCCCGCCCACTTTGACCTCAGCTTCCCGGGAAACAACCTTAGCTTGGAGTTATACAAGAGCACACTGTCCCCAGCCTTGAAGTCTTTAAGGCGAATCAGTTTGTCATGGGCTGCCTTTGTTCTCAACTTATAGATCATGGAGTTCTCATAGGCATTCATTCTGATTTCCTCCAACTCAAACAAGTTCATTAGTCTTCTCTCTTGTGCAGCCTTTATATCAAAGTTCAGCATCTTCACTGCCCATAGTGCCTTGTACTTACCTCTACAGGTAAGTGACAATCCTTTCCATACAGTAAGTTGAAAGGGGACCTTCCAATGGGGGTTTTGTAAGCTGTTCTATAGGCCCAAAGAGCTTCGTCCAGCCTTGTTCTGAACAGTTTGATAACAACTTTAGCATCACAAGTTGGGCAGGGGATTGCTTCGATCCATTTGGACACATAGTCCACGGCGACCAGAATGTAGTTGTGTCCGTTTGAGGAAGGCTTGAAAGGTCCCATGAAGTCTATTCCCCACACATCAAAGATCTCAACTTCCAGAATTGGGTTCAGTGGCATTTCATCTCTCTTAGTGATACTTCCTTTCCTTTCGCATGGGTCGCATTTTGCGATGAAGCTTGCTGCATCTTTAAACAAGGTAGGCCACCACAATCCAGATTGCAGAACCTTTGTTGCTGTTTTGAATGTAGCAAAATGACCTCCATAAGCTGACCCATGACAATACTCTAGAACTCCTTGCACATCCTCTTCAGCAATGCATCTCCTGTAAATGCTGTCTGGTCCTCTCTTGTACAGTAGGGCTCATCCCAATAGTAATGCCTAGCATCCTTGAAGAATTTCTTCCTCTTGTAAGCATCAAAGCTACTAGGGACTTCTCCGGACACCATGAAGTTCACTATATCAGCATACCATGGCAAATTCTCATCACGCAGAGCCTTAACTTCTTCCAGCCTGACTTTCTCATCAAAACTCTCCTTTAAGATCATGATTGCCATAAGCTGTTCTTCAGGCATAGAATCATTGATGGGGATCATGTCTTCAACTCGCATCCTAGAGAGATGATCAGCAACTCCATTTTCTACTCCCTTTTTGTCCACAACTTCTATATCAAACTCTTGAAGCAAAAGGATCCATCTGAGAAGTCTTGGCTTTGTATCTTTCTTAGCGAAGATGTGTCTAAGGGCAGCATGGTCAGTGTGCACAATCACCTTGGATCCAACTATATAGCTTCGAAACTTCTCAAAAGCAAAGACTATGGCAAGGAGTTCCTTCTCTGTGGTTGCATACTTGCACTGAGCATCATCCATAGTCTTGCTTGCATAGTAGATGACATTGAGTTTCTTGTCTATCTTTTGGCCAAGCACTGCTCCTACTGCATAGTCAGATGCATCACACATAATCTCAAATGGGTGATCCCAGTTCGGAGCTTGTACTATTGGCGCAGACACCATAATCTCAATCTTTGTGTTCTTGAAGCTCTTGCTTCTTGAATCCTAGATCCTGGATAATCTCTTTGTATTTGCACTTGCTTATTTCAATAAAAGTTGTTTAATTTCATCTCCTCTTTCTTATGATGTCTCTTTTATTGCATTTGCTTGTGTTTACATTCATGTGTAGTGAGTAGTTACCCATTAGGGGTTTGAGATGGGATAGATTAGAGGTTTCATATGCTTAATCCTTCTAGCTTATGGTCTTAATCTAGATTCTCTCTCTTTTGGATAGATCTTAAGGCTACATGACCACTACCCCTGGCTTGTAAGTCCTTAGGCGATTCCCCACACGAAAGTGATGGCATTCGCTGGAAAAGATCCACTAAGAGCTCCAATATCTCTTGCTCTAGAAAATAGAGGTCTAAGGGGTTGGATGGATTAGTTTGGCAATGATCCTATAGCCTCCAAGGTTTGATTCTCACTGGCTAACCCCCTGTTTCTGAGATCATTCCTTGGTTGATAGCTTTCACCTTGGGAAAGGGTTGGCTAGGCATTGAGAAGCCCAATATCAAGAGAAGCCTTGATACAAGGAGTTTTAAGAGCTAGATGATTAAGTGTAGATTCCTCTGATTGTAAAACCCTGTCTTGAACCCTAATTCTCGCTTTATCTTGTTAAAGTCGTCACCTTTAGCTTTGTTTGTCTCAACTCGTCCCTAAACTCGATCGAGCTGGTACTTTGTTCTGACTCGACTCGAGTCTTGGTCGAGCTGCACTTCACTGCTTTGTTTACTTTTGCATTGCATTTCTTTCATTTAGGTTGTTAGTGTTACTTCAAATCTATTACTGCTTGCTTGACTTTCTTGTGGTTTCATATTCTCAAAGAGTGACAAGTTTCCCATTTTGGATTGATAACCTCTTATACTACATTGACTATGATGGTTAAGAGGAATTGATTGATTGTGATTGCACCATACCATTCATCTTTATTCACCCCTGTTTGCATTCCACCTCATATCATATCACACATCCACCTAAAATCCTATCATCACGCGCCACTTAATACCATAACATAATAACAGACCGATATGAAATGTACCAGATTGAAAGCATACCTGCTGTGAGGAGCCTGAAGTAGGAGATTGTGATACTGGTTTTGAACTTTTGATAGGAGCTGTTGGAGTAAGTAATTGAGGCTGGCCGCGAGGAGATGCCGTGACTGATGCCTCTGTGTTTAGATCGTCGAATACAACTCGTTTAATGGCCACGCTACAAATGTCTTCAAAGAGTCCTGAAGGTTTGAAAGTTCTTCTGTTGGCCGCCAAATAAAAGTATCTGGTTCTATAACCACATCGACGAACACTTTTATGGCATTTGGTCCTAAAGGTAAGCCATTCACCAAAGCTTTGGGATCACGAGTCTGCCAGCGGCCTTCAGCTACAGGTTCTTCATCATTAGATACCCAGTTCAGGAGTTTGCATTTGTTCACAGACGTTGTGCTTGGGCTCTGAGACAGAAGTGATGTGACGCCAAAACAATAAGATGTTAGTAACTAAATGAAATCATAAGCTACAACATATCTTGCTCTCATTCCGTAAACATTACCTTAGGAGGGATATCTTCTGGTTGAAACTCATCTTCAAGAGCAACGACACAATTCTGAGGCCACGCAATAGTTTCGCCTACCGCCTGAGAAATACATAACATATTTTGTGCAGGCCTCCAGAGAAATGCGTCTCCGTTGACAGCCATCTCCACCAACACCTTCACTGAGTTAGGTCCTAATGGTATACTGTTGATAAAGTCCATGTGATCGAAAGACAAAATTCGACCCTCAGCTACTTTGTATTCAGATCCAGCCCAGTCAAACAGAATGCACTTAGGCTTTGTTCTTTGGTTTACACTCTACATTTGTCAAATTTTTACCGTCAGGGTTAGTTCAGTATTAAGGGAAAGAATAAATTAAACTTTCATAAAAATATGATTACTCGCTGGGCTGAGTTTTCACCCACATCTGCTTCCGCACGCTACAAGTTTACAGGAGATAAAGTGTAAGTTGAGAGATAAATAATCGTTAAGTGTAAATAATCATTCATGAAGTGATGATAACGTACATTGCTATTCAGTTTCTCAAGGGCTTCTTGTAACTCGTTGACTTGCAGCTGCAACTGAACTTGAGTTTGCTGCATATCAGACACATACTTGCTCTTCACTTGGAAACAAGCAAGTTTGCTCAAGCTCATTCCTCTACCCATTGCTCGCAGGCGTCCAGGATTGTCAGGTCCCAAAATCTGTGCAAGCGTGTCTTCTTTTGGGTTCAAAGATGACTCTGATGCAGCAACAGATTGCATGATCTCCTTCGCCTGTCCTTGTAACAACATCTCACTCTCGTTTTTATAGGCTTATATTTTCAGAGATAAACATATACGAGTCACTCAGATGTTTAGAATACTACTTACGATTTTGGAAGCAGCATCTGTGTTCACGGCTGACCCATCCTTTTTCGTTCGTGACTTCACCCACACATTAAGTCTTGTCACTTCAGCTGGTTCTGAGCTCTCCTTTTTCTGTACAATATTGTAAGAAGACACAATCACAAATCCAATAATCACATAAACAATTCATAGTTATATCATACATTTATTATACTTACTAAATCTTCAGCTAGTCTAACCATCCCTCTACGACTACATGTGTGAGGTATCTGCTTGCTTCTTCGTTCCTTATATGTCTCGCTGACAGCCTAATAACGAGGGTTAGATGCAATAACAATAAGATATAAAGTTCTGATAATTTATTACCTTAAATTCCACACTAGTCTTCTGTTTCACAAACTTTCTCCACTCTGGAGTTGGGATATTGTCTGGTCTGAGTTTCATTCTGTTTGCATGGTTTTTAGCCTTGTTAATCTGCTTAACAAGGCGTGACTTTGATGCCCTCCATAAACACCCCATCTGCTTCATAACAGCAGCCTTCTCATATGCTCCATCTAGTTCGAAGCGTATCTGCCAACAATAATTATCATAAGAGCGATGTCGTGAAGAGTAATACATTTTATGCAATATGAAACGAAAGTACCTTAACTGATTTCCAGAGAACTGTCTTCAGCTCCTCACCAATCTTTCTCCAATCATCAATTAAGACTGGAACATGCTCACGCACCAATGGGCCTAGGTAAGAAGACAACTTCACCGACCCTTCTCCACACGGTTCTCCTAACTCAGTGAACTCAACTTTAATGCGAGAATTTGGATCCCTAGCAATATCTTTCATCTTTGTTGGACCTCTCTGCTTCTTACTGACTGGCTGAACCTCCACCGGAACAGTATCTTGTGGCTGTGAGCCAGATACTTGTTCGTCACCTTCAGGCATCTGACAATCCTTTTCAGGTTGTTGTACCTCCGGCTGTGTGTCTGCTTCTTGGGTCTCTTATGGCAGTAGTCGTCCACCAGTTTGTTCATCAATAGTGCAAATGAACTCAGGCTCATCATCCACATCGGCTCCGAGGTTCTTCCTCTTCTTAGAATACTTCCTGGATTTACCCATTGCTCCCCTACTGTAAGACTCAAAACCAAGTTTACAAAATCAAACACATAATAAGTTAGCCAAACGCAGACAAACAAATCATCAAAAAGCAATGACTCAAAACCATAAATAATAACCAATTGCAGAATTTTCCAATCTCAATCAAATGACAGAACAAAATAGATCTACTCGAACTCCTACAATCATATGAAATTCCGAACAAGAGAACAATCAACCCCATCACACATATATTCCTTCACAATCATCTCTGACCATAGGAGCCTCATCTTCCAAGTCTTCTAGACCCATGTCCACATTGGAAGGTAATGGTCCAACATCAGTATTTCCATCTTCTACATTCTCATCACTGTATCTCCTAGATGGACCTCTCATA